CCTATCTAATACGTTGTTATCTTTTTATCTAACTCACGAAAAAAGAAAGGTGATATTTTTAAGTGCATATATGTACGGTATAGAGTTGCATATCAGAATCTTTACCATGGAACATCTAATGTCTTTGACCCGACCTATATCCTAAACGGCTTATTAGATAAATGGGATATGGTTAATACCGTATTAACTCTGTTAGTATTGTACATTACTCTTAATGTGTATATCTACCCTCATCCTCATTCATATTTGGGGTCGGTATAATATGTTTAATATAATATTATGTGCCTACCTTGTTTACATGCTCATTATTAGTGTTCAATAGATAGGTATCAAAAACTCGCAATATTTTTGAAATGAAAAACAAGAGTTTTTTTTTCCGTTTAACAATTTAATAGTATAATAATTTAATAAAATACATAAATTCTGACTTTCCTCCTAAACTAAATACTAAGTAAAAACTAAAGGTATAGTTACTTTTTTATCTAAAATAATTAAGTGCGACTGATAAAGGTTATATTACAATCCTTGTCGAAATAAGTTAAAATTGGAAAAGAAAAACTTATTCATTAGATTACTTCTAAGTGAAGAGCTGTTGGTGTGAGCTCAACTCAAACTTTATCGTGAGAAAGGATTGTTAGAAATGTAATTTAACAGTTAGCAATATATTTTATAAAGTCGACCTCCACGCGGTTCCTTCTGGAAACCATCATCTTTAATATTCTTGTCGAATCCATCACGATGGGCCAACTAACCTGCTTTCATCTTCACTACCAACGTACTCGTATATCGATAGCGCATGTGGGGTTACCGTTCCATTTTCACCAATAAAACATAGTTTAAACTTGACCGGTTTTTAAAATGTCCATAGTTTCGACTTTTAAACACTTTAAAAAAATACAGGTTTTTGAATTTGAAAAGTATAGTATTAATTAACAAGGCCAGTTTTGTCAATAATTTACATAGCAAATATGTATCATAGTTGGCTAAGATACGTTTGATCTTTGAGTAGATATATGTCTAGCCCAATTTGCAGTAAAATCATCTTATTATCGGATGATGGACATCTATAATTTTGGGTTGTCACTTGTCACCAATCACAGATGCGAATTGTGAAGCAGTTGTATTTTCATAGCTGTGTTTCGGTTGGAAGGGTGGGATATGGCGTGAATTTACAGGGTACAGAGGAATAATATTTCAGTCCTCAAGAATGGCAACGCATGGAGGGTTTCATGGGTGAAACAGTATACTCTGTTATGTCCATGGTACTGCTCATGTTTCTAGGCGACGGTAACCACTTTCCATCAGCTGAGCCGTTAGCTTGTTTGCCATTTTAAGTTGTATAAAAAGAAAATGCGATCACAGCAAGTAATCACTATTAAGATATTATATAAGAGACTACTCAAATATTGGCAAAACTGAACAATGCACGAGTAGCTATGCAAATATCAATACAATAAAATTTATTTATTTATAAATTTACAAAACAATTTACATACTTATTAAAAATAAAGTATTACACTACTTAGTGTTCTATAACTACTTATAACATTCTTCTGTCCATAAAATCCATATTGATAATGTCATAAAAAGGAAACTATAGTGTACAATTTTCAAATTCAGTGAACTAGTTACATAGTACAGACATTTTTCTTGTTTAAAATAATACAAGCCTGGCTGTAGTAATGGTACACATTCCATTAATATCTCTAGCATATTACTTAAAAACTGTATTACCAAATTTATATAAATTCACAAAAATTCATAATTTCGCACTTTTCCTGAATACTACATTTTATTAAACAGTAATAATATTAAAACTGAATTAAATATGTTTTTGTACTTTATGCATACTTTATATTTTATGCAATGCATATTGTATTTATTTTACACAATACTTATGTGAAAAACTGAACAATAGAACACTGTTTTATTCGTATTTAGAAACTTTCACTAGAAACCTTCACTTATATCAATCTAGTGAGACACCAAGTATTTTTTATAATTTTGAAAATTGGAACATCATTAAAAACTGGTTTTAAATGTAAAAAGAAACCCTTTCAAAATTATATGGAGATGCACATTCTGCTTTCTAAATTCAAATATTTTTAATGTAACATGTCTATAAAACATCTTGCTGTTTCATACGTATGATTGAAGTTGTTTTTCTTCGGACGATACTAATCATGTAGATTACATGTTATATACTCGTACTATGACCTTAAAGCCTCTATAAGTAGCATAATCTACTAATATTCATTGTCAAATTAAGAAATTGATGACATCTATTATTTATTTCAGTATATCTTAAACGTTTTTATTATTTGACAACCCTATGAGTGAGATAATTTATTTGATCTCATGACCCAACTAAGCAATAATTTGATGAATCTATATTGCATGGAACGTCAAGCTGGTATGACCACTTAAATTTTTTAGTCTTTGTTTAACATAATGTGATTATAATTTATGTAATACTTAATGTAATACGTATGCATACATAATATATTGAGTACATATGTTTCATTATTTATTTTTTGTCGTATGGCTCCGGCATAAAATGGACCATCTCGTTCTTTCCCGCGGATGTCGTAAAAAGTGACTAAGGGAACTTTGAACTAAGTATAACCAACTAGTTAAAAGGTAGGCAGCAGCGTCTCTCTTAAAACGTTACCAAGGCTTAACTGCGGTTGTCAACCCGCATGGCAACCCGCATACCAAGCATGGCAACTACTGACAAAATCCCCTTTACAGGGGAAGTCTATGTTCAGCATTGAACAGTTAACAGCTGATATGATGGTAATGACTTATTTTTGGTTACTTTACACCAATTCAGTATTCCGCGAAAAAGTAGTGGTTTAAAAATTCATACTTATAACATGGAAACGATTGAACTCTAATACCATGCCAAGCTAAATTTGTCCTTACTTTTATGGGAGCCTGCGTGGGTAGTGAACAAACATTGGTTCCACACATGGATTACAAAAGTCTTATAATAACGTTTTAAAATTTTATATAATTTCAAATATAGCATACAATTACAAATTGTATGCATATTAGAGTGAATACAACAATTAAAAGTATATGTGTTTTAATTAGATTTTTTCCTAAACTCAAAGGTAATATATTATATCCATTATTGCAACGATAAGATAACCTTTTGCACTTGTAATTCCGTACTTTATTTTAAATATAATTTAAATGTGTAAATTGATAAGGTGCTAATAAAATAATTGTCTATAAATTATTACTTTAACAATTGTAATAAATTATTTGAGCGGTTAGTTCCACCTTCACCCATTTATTTTCCAAACATTCATTCGGTCTAATTGTTTCATACATTGGCAGTTTACCGTGTCGTATCGGTCACATACTACAGCGACACAACAGGAAATAACAATGCCAACTCGCAACGTACAGGATACGATAAAATGTGGATTTCATTTAAACTACCATAAAGTGATTTTAATTACATTCAAATAGTCGCGTACAGTGTTGCGGTTATGTTAAAATTCAACAATGGCTTCCTTAATTAGCCATAGTCCGGAATCAAGCTATCTTTCCTTTGAAAATCGAAGCAGCCACCCTGATGACGAAACTACAAAACGCTATTATCCTGTGAATATTTACACTATAAATAACGATCAATCCGAAATCATTGGAAAGAAACGAACAGTCCTCGAATATTTACGTAAACTCTGTTGCTGCAAATGGAATTCTGAAGATCAAAATTTGTCATCGTCTATTGATGATTCTAATTCTGCTCTAGTGGGACCTATTAGAAGAAGCTATACGCTAAATAAAGAAAGGGAAAAAAAAGAAAAAATACCGCCAGTTAGACCTCTTGTAGATATACCTATATTAAAGATTACAAATGTTGCTGATGATGAGTTTTGCAAGTCTACAACGCAGCTTTTGCTTATCAGTGAACAAATGGCAAGTGCTATCAATCAAAACACAGCCAAAAGTAGCTTGAAAAGAAAACAACAGAGTTCAAAGGATACCAATCTAGACTCTGAAAGCAGCAAACATAGCACACTAAAATTTGGTGAGAAAGTCTCATTTATTCGTGAAATTATAACCTGTCGGGATTCTTTCTTGAGGTCGCTGGAATGGTGTGATAATTCGTTAACGAGGGGTAAAAAATGTCGCCAAATCAAACGCGATGAATGGCTTGAATTACGTGATGACGGTACCAAAATATTAGAGGTTCTTAGGCACTGTAAAACTCTTCAAATGTGCACAAAGCAATACTGGTTCTCACAATTAATATCAGCACTTAGTGTTGTAAGGCTCACTATTATAAAACCTTACAATATTACACATTCCATTCCTACAAACATTGTTACAAATGTATTTGGGTACACTTGTATGTCTACTAACATTACTAATCACAAAAATATTTGACATTTTGTTTTTCTTATCAGTTTCATTTATGTAGATTAATTATATCCGTAATAAATAAGAAAAATATTGTAACACATGAATGAAATTATCAAACAATGAATTTGTTTACATAAAATTTTTAGACGTTTTACAACAAGGTCTCTGTTTTGATATTGTTACCTCTTGTGACTAACCTATTTAGATTTGATGTTCATAAATATTTCAAATTTGAAAGATTATTTAGATGATGTTCAAATAGAAATATTATTAACATATTAAAATTTATTTTTTAATATTCATTAAATTAATTACATAACGTAATTTATTAAATAAATTGCACCTTTATAGACTAGCCGTTTCGAAATTCTTCGATGCTAGTCTATAAAGGTGTAATTTAAAAATTTTTTAATCACATTATAATTATTGGTATATTTACAATTTCATATTTTAATGAATATGTTTCTTAAATTGTATAGTACCTATAAAAAGATGAGACTGACATCCCATTTAAGACATTTAAAACAGAGAATGAATAGACATTTTAAACACGACTGATTATTCTTTATTGGTTTTATAATTTTCTTTTGGTTCTAATACGTATATTTGCATTGTTCTAGATGAAACGTTCATATCGGAGACACTGTCGCCTGGCCATGCAACTTTACCGCGCCGTTCCAGCTCGCCGCTCCCACACGAGAGGGACCTGCTGGACAGAGATAGATACCCGATCAACAGGAGTGGTCTACAGGTAATTATATATTCTCTTCTTTTGTTTATATGTTTTTTTTCTATTTTCTTTTTTATAAATTACTTGGTAATTATTACTAATATTACAATTGGATTTGAAAAACTGTTTTTATCTTTCAGCGTTTTAACGGTTAACAGTTATAAAATTTTGCATGCACTGCTCTATTTAAGATTGCGAAGAATATAGGCTATTGTATATCCTTGCCAATGAATATGTGAGAATTCGGAGATAAAATGTAATCCTAGCATAAATTATTTAATGTTTAACTGTACTCATATAGTTTATCTTGGAATTTATCTAAATTAATTACTAATTCGTATCTTTCTTTGTATGCGAGGTATGTAGGGTCAAAGTTTGATTGCGAATTGTGATATTAGGTCAGCCTAAATACTACGATGCACCATATCATAAAAATTTGTCTAAAATTTCCGGGCAGAACGAAATTAACGGAACAAGATGTCAAAATTGTGAAGAAAATGACACTTATCAAAATAAAATAATATTAATAGTTTGGACGCGTAGAAATTATATCGAAACCAACGTCACTCTCCGTTTACGAGTATATCATCGTGCGTATGTTTGGGTTCAAAATTTCGTGATTTAAATTTTATGGTAGAATCGCAATGAATATGAGGTTGATGTTGTTGCCTAGATATAGGTAATAGAAACGTAGTCAACTATTTCTGTCTGTAAAAGTCAAAGAAAAGTTTCGAAAGATTTTATGGTAATATTAACATGAATTCTTGAATAATGTCTACTATAAACGTTGTAAATAAATATACATTTATAAACAGCACGCGTAAGAAATCCGGTAAAACAAGTACAGTCTAGATATAAACGTACAAGTATTGTCTCCGCTACAGCGTACTTGGGCATTGTACTCGAACCTACCTTATTATGTTACTGCTTGCGACATGACCTGCAAGAATGAGGTCTCGCTAAACATCTCAGCTTGTATGTACTCTGCTGCTAATTTATGCTCTGTAACAAAGATTTTGACTGTTGTTACAGAGCATTTTTAATGCTGCACATATTTCTGCTAAATCACATACTGTTAAACCAGTTTCTATTGTTCTAGAACTCGACATGTATGTGACCTTGGACTACATGAAATTTTATCTCGAAACGCTATATATAACTTTCATTATGGTACTGGACGTGTGAAATTTTTTTTTTAATTATTCTCTTTGATAATAATAATATTTTATTAATGTTGTATTTGTTTGTAGTTTTTGGATTGTTATAAGTTAGTAGTATTCTTATTCTAATGGTCTTATGAATACATGGTAATTTAGTCTAAATGTTATCTCTTAATATCAAATTTAATATATTGGTATTAAGTAACATATAATAATAAGTAATATTACAATAATATATATATTAAATGTCGCTTCATAAAATAATAGCTTCTCGTATTTATTTCGTAGCAAAATAAATATGAAACTAACACGAAAGTATAGGTAAGGATATCTATAAATAGAGATCTATTATAAAAACAATGATTAAAATCAGTTCAAAATTAATGACGATATCGCATAAAACAAAAAATACAGTCGAATTGCGAACATATTGAATTTTCTCGCAATAACTAAATATTATCGCCAATGTATTTGGACTTTATGGGCTAATAACGTAGGTTGGACATGCGAAATGTTGTAATATTGATCCCTTGTAAAGTATCACAGTGTGGGTAGATACGATAAAACATAATTACTCAATGCCATATGCGGTCCGCTGGGCCGTTTCACATGCCAGTGCTTGTGTGACTGACTACGCACTAGATTTATTTCGAGATATCTCTAAATAAACACACAATATAAAGTTAAATGATATCCGTAATAAACTATACTTAGTCTGTACCAGTACATAAAAAAAATTATAAAGGAGTTTTTAAAAGGAGTAGAGACCATTTTATTGCTTTAAGTAAACATTTTTGATCTGTGTCATTTACGACATTGTACCTATATATTTCATTGAATGTATTTCGTAAAATATCTGAGCTGAGATAGTTTAAAATGTTATAGAAATACGAGAGAAACTTTTGATTTCATTCTTTGGATATCATTTTCTCATTCATTTGTCAAAGTTTGTTTTTTTTTTTTAATTTTTTTTTAATTTTAAAAACTCTTACAATTGATAGGTAATACTACAACATTATTTATATGAACACGAACGCCACAGAGTATATCAACCTACTTGTACAATAATTAGTCCATTACTAATCTAGTCCTAAGGTTGTCTTGAAAATCTTCAAGCAATCGCTTTCAGCAATAAGATCGCCTTACTGTACTTATACAACTGTATCTTTACATTTATTAATTGCTTTACTTATTACCTATATTGTATATTGCAAATAAAATATACTAATTTAATCATTCTACATCTAGTCCTAATTAAATAAACACATTTTGCAGTAGTACACAGAGTAGCCTTAGTTCTTCCTAATAACATGACTACCATTTATGTAGACATTAGGAAATATTGCAGTACATAATAATGTTACAGCCCACGTGGTTTGCTGTCTGTTAGCGTTGTTACAATAAAGCATATTTCCGTTTTGTCTAGTTACGGTAACCTGCTAATGTGTTATTGACATAGTCGATTGAGATTATTAAACAATTATTGACATCAGTATTTATATACATACTTGCATTAAAACTATATGAACAGATATACTTCCCACGATAAATACATAGATAGATATATGAATGTTTTAGATAATAAGTAACATAAATCCAATACAGCAGAATTTATAATAGCATAGTCAACTGAATGTGAGTTCCAAGTACGTTTTTAGCCAATAATGTCATATTTTAGTTGTATCGTATAACATTAGATAGCGCGAGTATATGAAACCACAATATGATATTTCGAGCTAACCATTATGAATTGCTAATCGTGGGATTTTATAGTTTCAATATTAAGCGATTAGACTTTGTTTAAGTCTTTTGTAGGGCTTAATCAATTTAGGTTTATGTTAGTTTAAAAAATTTGTCTGAATATTTTATATACTTATTTCTAAAAGATATAAGAATAGTGAGTGTCAAAAATTATAGAACAGATTTCCAAAAATTATCAACATCGTAGTATATATAAATAGCTAAAATATTAACACTTGAAAGAAAAGTGTAATGTCAAACTTAATTGAATATTCAGTGTTCGTCGACTTTTAACATCGAACCTACCTTTTTTTTACTAGTTTTTATGTAAGTACCAATTTCTTAATTACAGGCTCGTTCGGAGTCAATGGCATCCGTATACTCTGGAGCTGGTGAAGGAACACGAGGCAGCGTGGCGGTACGAGGTGAAGTGGAGATCTCGTTGTTGTACAACTACCGACTTGGAGCGTTCGAAGTTGGTGTCAAACGCTGTAGAGACCTGGCGCCTATTGACGTGAAGCGGAACCGATCAGATCCTTATGTCAAGGTTGGTAAAGTTATTTATTGCATGCGTTTAAAGGCTTTGGGTGAATGGTACAAGTTACACAGATTTTTTATATCTCTTAAAACGGCATACAAGTACTCAGAACACTTAATGAAAAGTGGTGACCGTCGACTTTGGACATGAATATGAACGTTGCTATCCCTGAAGACTGTTTTGTAGGTATGTTCATACTGAATAACTAGTAACTAGTGGGCAACTGTTTTAATTTCGTCAATTTAACAAAATTATCGATCCTCATCTCTTCAACATACACGCTTATTTCGTTAATTGATTTTTTCACTATGAGGTAAAAGGCTAATAAATAATAATACAATTTTGATTAAAATTCGTTTAAATTATGAGAAAAGAGGAAAATGCGTTTGAAACATTTGCATATCATTACAGTATGTGTCAAGCTACGTAACACAAATTATTAATAGCATTCTTACAATATTTTTTCACTAAATATAAAAATATAGCATTATGCAACCACATTTAAATGCACGTCTACAGGCGTACACATATTACAAATATTATTGTTGTATTATTCAATCCTTTTAAATGAAGTGTTCTTGTAAATTCGTCGCGATAGGCCAATTTATCCAAATTTATCCTTATTGATCATCAATAACAGATACTCCACCAACGTATACCGAGGTTATCATTCCATCTTTATTTTATTAAAATAACAATTGCATTACTAGGTGTACCTGTTACCCGACAAATCGAAAGCTGGCAAGAGGAAGACCAAAGTGAAGAAGAACACGCTCAACCCCGTGTTCGAGGAGACGCTGAGCTTTGTCCAGCCGCTGGCCTCGCTGTCCTCGCGGACACTGTGGCTCAGCGTGTGGCACGCCGACATGTTCGGCCGGAACGACTTCCTCGGCGAGGTGACGTTGCCGCTGGCCGACGTCGTGTTCGACGACCCCGCGCCCATGTGGCACAAGTTACACGAGAGGGTAAGCACAAAAAACATATCATTTTCGGCCCAATCATTGTACAATATTTCAAAAAATCAAGACAAATACAAAGATTATCGGAAAATTAGAACAAATTCATTTGTTGAGTAGTTTACTGAAACAAATATGTATTGGGTTTTTGTTTCAAATTTTAAAATTCGAGTTTGGGTTATTTCTAAAAAGTATCGTTATTGACTTCGTGCTTTAAAGAACACGTAAAACTGTCGTCCGGTTAATCACATCGTAGGTTACGCCACAGATGGCATAGAATTTCTTAATACCAGAGAAAGACACATTGACACAAGTAACGCCACATGGCATACAATTACACAGACTGTTCATTCATAATTTTAACGCGAAATTAAGTATAAAATTTTAGATTAAGAAAACAAAAGTATTGTTTTCTTCATCTAAAAATTGACTTTTATATTACTGACGCACATTAAAACCTTATAATGTTACGCATTTTAATGAAAGCAATTTATTTCATAACTTAGGCATAATAACATGGCTCTATGCTTTCACTTTTTAATGCCTTATTTTAAAATCTTACAATTTTTTCGCGGTCTTTGATTTCTTTGCACTTTTACTTTGATATAATTATAGCACACAACATTTTAATTAAATAAAATGTCGATAATTTTACTGGCCGTTTATTATCTCACTGAATATAAATAATATGTTTTGATGTTCGTTACTTAGCTGCCAATATTTGACTGATTTTAACGAGAAATTCAGCATTGATTTTGCATCAATATAGGTATTTGCAATAGTGCGCGTTTCCAAAAAAAAGTTATTTAATAATTATTTATTTATGGAATTGTCAATTTGTAATATTCAATAATACATTATACATACTTTTTCATTAATCGTTTCTCATATACACTTTAAATGTTATACTAAGCATTAGGCTAAATATTAACGGCCGCAATAATGATATTGATGATGATTGTACATTCATGCCCAAGGGCTCGAGGAAACAGTAGAAATCAGTGCTGACTTCTAAACAATTACCTCGAGTCTTGCGGTATATTATTTATTTAAAGTTACTTGCATTGGTTTGGTGATTTTATAAAATGTAAAATATTTGCATGCCTACATCTCTTAAGGCAATTAAACAGGTGCCAAAATAATACCACGTGGCTTTTGTAATAATTTTAAACTGTTTAATGCAAAGAAACTAATTTCATTTCTTTCATTTCATTTCAAATTTCAATTTAGATGCTTATATTATGTTAATCAATTAACGCTTCAACAGCTGACGATTTTGAATGAAATTTGGTTATATACTTAATCCAGCCCCAAATTTCATAACTAAATATTTTTATATAAAGTAACAATATCACTGATTCGCCGTCCCTGTGCTAGGTAATATTTCGTTTAAATGTCCTAAATTGAGTGCTCGCATCAAACCTGTTTTTTCAACTCCAATTTATAAAACTAATTATTCGAGAAATCATGTCTTAGTTAGAGCCTGTAACACGTATTACAATCATTATTGCCATAGAAAAGTTAATTTTATCATAACTTGGTTTTTCACAATTTGGTATGTGTGCTATAATTTTCTACAATATATTTATAATATAATAGTTTTTTACGATTTTATGAAATTATAATTTAATACTATTCTATGCAGAATTTATTGGCAGATAAATAATTTAATTGTTTAGATAATTATTATATGTGTTGTTAAAGCTATATGTTTGCCTGAAATAAATAGAATATATAAATAAATAGGATATTTCTGTTCTATTGATACTTTGTATACTGATGCATATAGGGAAAACCGCGGGAAACAACTGGCTTGTGATAGAATTATACATTTTTTATTTAAAAATATTCTCTAACAGACGGAACAATTCGATGAGCAGCAAGGCAGTCGCGGCGACCTGATCATCGGGCTGAAGTTCGAAATGCACGAGAGCGGCACCATGCGGGGCAAGGGAACACTGCACGTACTGGTCAAGGAGGCTAAGAACCTCGTCGCCACGAAGCCGAACGGACTGGCTGACGTCTTTTGTAAAAGGTTATTATTTGAATTTTAAATATTTTAATATTAGTTCGTATATGCAAAACTAAGAATCTACTCATGCTATAAAACCTGTTAGGAAATAAAATTCATAAATGAACAAATATTTAAAGACGTACGTATTATGAAATTCCAATCAGAGATGAATTTTTTTTAAAAAACAAGTCCGCCTTTGTACTTTTTTAATCTGTTATTTTTAACTACAAACACAATACACTGGAAACAGTAGGACATGTTTGAAATATTTATTAATAATTTCAGACAATTTTGTAACCATGCTCAGATAAATAAATGAACTGAATTGAATTTGTTTCTAAAAAGAACGTACAAATAAATTGGACGCGTCGTGTTGGTACGGGAAGCTCAAAATTTTAAACCGTTTTTCAACCTACGTTTTTTATGTGAAAATGTTCAGGTTTACTAGTAGAACACTTCCTTCAAAGGATGTTAACAATTTTACTCAAACATAACAAGTGCAATAAAGAATATATACTGATACTTGTTATCTTTAAAAGAAATCGCGTCTAGCTAACTAAATACTAAAAAGGATTATATATTAGTATAATACATCAATAAGAAGTATAGTTTTATTTGTTTATTTACTTATTATTTTTATATTTATATTCACATATAAAGTATAAAACGCGGTCTTATTGCTAAAGTAATGTCTTTCATGTATTTGGCGTAAGAAGTATATCTAATAATTGTTTATTACTTTTCTTGTATGTCATTAATTAGTTTACTTCCACTTTTATACTTTTTAAAATTTTACCTATTATCTTCTTCGTGTATAAAATCGTATATCTTATATATATATGTGTAAGTATATTTGTTATTTAGGTGTATATATTTATTTGTGTATATATGTAAATTTTAGTACGTATGTATATCAATTAATCCTAGTACCCCATTTAAGTATTCTAACACATTTCTAAGGTTGACTGGAAGAAAACCCTTTTAGCATTAAATTTGCCTTTTATATACGTCTATATTAAAGAGTTAATAATTTGTATCAAAGTAGGTCTAATGTGTAACATTTAGTATTACATAGTTCCCAGTGGATAAAGTACTTGTTCAGTATTTACTTACTTATTTATTCAAACTTGTTCGACTTGTTTGATATATGAAAAGCATCCCCACGAAACTATAAAACAAACTTGATTACTATTATGCACACATTTGACTTTAATCAATTACTTTTATAAAAATAAAATGTACTTTTTAACGTTCCAGCTATCTCCTCCCGGAGCGTGGCCGGCTCGCTAAACAGAAGACGAACGTGTCGAGGCGCACCCTGAACCCTCGGTGGGAGCACACGTTCACTTACAGAGGGCTGAAGATGCAGGAGCTGGGCACGCGCGCCCTTGAACTCAGCCTATGGGACCGGGACCGGCTCGCCTCCAACGAATTCATGGGCGCAGTGCGACTCTCGCTTGGAACTGGTACTATATATAATCTGTTAATTTATTAAAAAAGAAAATATTATGCAAAATAAATACAGTCAGGACTATAATATTAAATAATTACAATAGAATATAAATAGCAAATTTTAATATGTAGTTTTTTTTTATGATTCTTCCGACCAATTCAGAATGCAAATAGGTAATATTGGGATAGTCTGAGCCATTTATTGACTATTTCTGTTCTATTATAATTGATGTAATATTCAAAATGCATTCTACTAAATCTTAATAAGTTGTCTAATTAATCAACTATGTTGTAGTAACAAAGACGACTAACTACGAGTATATTTCATAAAATGGGTACATGCAGAATGACAAATAAATATAAATAGCATCAACATAACAACATAACTTTCTTCCAACGTATTAAAATACAATAAAATAAGGGGCGAATCTACCGTCGTTACTTGTTTTAATTTGGTTTATTATCGAAGTTTTACATTACATCATTTTTCATATATTGTATAATTGTGAACCGATTTTGATAAAATTTCTATGGGAATAATTTTTTATACCTTTAGATAAGAAACAATTCTGCAAATTAATCAAAAAATTTTTATAATTGTTCTACTCTTGAAGAAGTTGTAATATTTGTAGTTAAGACAATGTATAAATGTAATGCTTTTTTCGCTAGGATGACCTAAGATTTTTTACATTTTAGATATATTTAAATATTTCCAATCCCTAAGAGAAACCAGCACAGTTGATTTTTTGGAGTCGGCCTGCGAAACTGTTGAAATAGTGGTGGTAAAAATATATTGCTTCTTACAGGGACCTACATGGGGGCAAACGTCAACTGGATGGACAGCGTAGGAAAGGAAGTAACTCTATGGCAGACAATGATGCAGCGGCCTAACTTCTGGGTTGAAGGTTCATTACCTTTAAGGCCTCAACTCAACAACTAAACGCCTATAACATATGCAAGAAATTTCTCTCCTTTTTTTGTAATGTAAACATTTCATTGTTTTCACAATTTAAATGTATTGTAATATTTGAATTGTGTGAACCAAACTCTGTGTCTATATATACATCGAACTTTTTATAGTGAATCGATATTGCGCGCTCAAGTTTATTTTTCCATGTTTATTCTAGACTTTCTTCTAAAACTCCATTTATTATAAGTCGGTAAATGTCCGCCTAAAATGGAGTTGTAATATTTTGGACCATTTTGTCAGATTAATTAAGCAATACAATTTTTTGAGTTATATAACAGTAGGTATACATTTAATGTCACACTGTAGTGTTGCCAATAACTATGATATATCATAGATACATTATAAAAATAGAAGTTAATACTCTCATTCTATCTATTTAAAAATATACTTCTCTTTCTGTATTTTTTATAAAGTAAGTGCCAATGATTATAGATTCGACCCTTTACTCATTTCGTGTTAAGTTTATAGATATTTTAATAAATATTAAAATATTAATAACAAATATTATCTGAAAAAAAACGACATTAAATACAAGTATTTGATACATTGTCCAACATTCCAATATGTGATGAAAATAATTAAGTATATATACAATTTTATTATAAATGTTAGAATATGACAATAAATATAATTTAACTTATAACTGCCCTTACGTTATAAGTATTTAGAATTATTTAAGTTTATGCATTTAAAATAGTACGTACGATGTACAAATTAAGTTGTCATGAGTTTAATAGGGTTTTGCTCATGCGTAATGTGATTTAATAATTGTGTAGGTATTTTTAGTGAAATCAGATGTAAGACGCATTTTGTAAAATGTTTAAGGGCATCTGTGAATATGGATCATAAGAGTTATACATTAAATGACACGAATACGTCCATTATATGTAGAGTACATAGTTTATTACTATAAGTTTCTACTTAAATAACTGATAATGTTTAACATATAGGTACATATCGGTACATTATTTTTATATAAAATACTTATTGTGAAATAAAAATTATTGAATATAAAATATCTGGAAATTAACTAGTTATTTTTATTTTTGTTTTATTAATAAAATTGTAGTGAAAATAAAACTAAACACCTTAGTCCTCGGGAATACTAACGCACGAACGCTATCATAGGCATCACAGTGTGTACTATGACGTCCGTGATCCGTTTATATTGCTGTTCATGTTCATGGGTGATAGTCATCGCTTTACATTAGGCTTGTTGACTATTCCAATTCGTACAAAACATTAAATTAATATTATTACCTAGGCACAAGGTAAGGTTGCTGTGTGCTCCTGGGATAGAATTAACCATTCCTTCCTTTTCCGTGCGTATCATATGAAGCGACTAACGGAACTTAATAGTCGAGGGATGGGCAGCAGTGTCCCTCTTAAAACATTATCAAAAACATAACTGCGGTTGTCAACCTGCCTGTAGATATTTAGTCTATTCTGGGTGAATCATAGATATAGTATACAAAAAACAAATTGATTAGATATTTATTAAGCAGTACTACTGCAACACTGTTTAAGTGAAAATTAAATGTGTTAAGAAACGTCAAAAAATCATTAATTTATTCCTAATATACCCTTCTATATTTATTACTTCCTATCTTACTATATAAAAATTGCGTCTGAAGTGTGGCAATACAATGTTTGCTGGGGGAAAGGGATCATTAGTAATGAGAACTAGTAGCTCCATTGCTAGAAATATATTGCCAGGTTAACATCCACGCAGATCATCCTGAAAAAAAAAACCAACGTATTGAATTTCGGGTATATTCATCACGATGGTCTTAACAAATCTGCCTTTTCATCCTCACCTATCATTCCTCGCTGGTACTCTAGTATAGCGCGGCCATAGTATAGCGTTAGCGTAGGCGAGAATACAATTCCATTATTATCCATTAAAAATGTATATGTTTAATTTGCTGCATAAGCTGAGGAGAAATCTGCTAGATACAAAAAATTAGGGAACATTTTGTATGTATACATACATATATCGATACATTTTACTCCCATAAAACAGTAGATACAATCCCAATCCCTCTTCTGTATCATATCCCAATACTCATATTAAGGCATTACAAACACATTTCACCCATTTATAAAGCTGGATAATACCGTTAACGTCTAGGTTTTTAAATAGGTGAAAATGGAGTTGTATCTCACCTTGTGCTATACGCTGGCGGAACACCAGTGAGAGATATGGTAAGTGAGGATAAAAACAAGTCCTTTAGCCCATCGTGGCAAATTTAACAAGAATTAATCATGAGGGTTTCCTGGAGGATTCCCATGGGCGTCGACTTGCTATATCGCTATATCTTTATTTGTACTTTTTTGTTATTGTACACAATATATATAAAAAATATGACAGGTAAGCAAATGCAGCTGCTGCAATTGCTAACAATCCCTTTCCCCCATAAATGTAATACCTAGGTAGGTACTTTAATATTTAGTGTCTATTTTAATTGTAAAAATAATCAGATGGACATACATACGTGTATTTTATTAGTGTCCTACCTAATCAAATTCAAATCTAGATATTACCTAAGTATTTATACCTGCCTATACTTATCCTTTCATTCTAAATCTTTGACAATTCAATATCACGTGTACATTTTACTGCATAGCGTGTCCAATTTCACCGTCATATTATTATATGGTAATTGCATGTCTTGTTTGTGATGGCTTCATTATTTTTTTACCATGGGGATCGACGTGGTGTGGCTACCCCGCCCACATTTCGCTGCTATAATAGACACAGAAATTGTCATTTTACACCATAATGATATGATTATACTCTTCTGCTTAAGTATCTATGTAGTGATGTGATTCGGTTTATCGATAAAATTGAATATTTTAAAATTTTCCTATCTACGTCTTATTTTTGTTTATTACCTAAATAACTATTTTTAGAATATGAGAAAAATATTATAAAAAATTGTAAGGCAAAACAAATTTCTCTGATAGATTTGCAATTATAACATTACTGTATCTGATTTTTTTTTTAATAAGGTAATGGGTTTTACTTTTAGAATACCGCAGTGATTATTTAGTTTTTGCAGGATAGGATAAATAAAAAACAGTCTTTTTTTTTTAAATTACGTTATTCAACTTATTTTGTTAAAACTGAAATTAAATTAAGTATTATAATGTTGAAATTATTTGTCAATTTTCAAAAACAAAATATAATTTTTCAATATTTCAGACTGATCATTTAAAAAATGCTCTAATAAGCTGTCATTAAAAATTTTTATTATGATAGCGGAAATGTATTTAAAAACTCCGAAGCATAGTATGAAGTAAGTGTATTGTTTTTAATGAAAGATTTCTTTTTTAATAATCTTTCAGAAACATCAAATCGAATTGTTACTTTTTTAAAATTGATAGAAAATTACAACATTTCAGCTACACTTCGGTAAGCAAAAGTTATGTACGCCATTATGTTCGACGCATAAATATTTTTTAAATGCAAATATCTATCCGTATTTATGCAAACGCCTTCTTTATAAAATCTCTAGTCTGCTCTAGCAAATGGATTTATATGATATGTACTTCTTTATTTAAAAATAGATTTAGAATAAAAAATAACACACTAATACCGTTTACCAAATCAAATATATTTTACACTTGTAATATGAATTTTAAAAACGTATAAAATTGTCCCTTTGTCACCTATAAATTTTACATACTCTAAATGTTTTATTTTACAAGCAGTCTACATTTCAAGATAGGGTAGCAGGTGGCTATATATACGGCATCAATCCGACTTCTACGACATTTTTGTGAAGAATTTCATCAAATATTCTTGTGCACAATGATCAGACGATTTCTTGAAAGCTTGGAAGATGATGAAATGCCTTTTTTTGCACCTAATTACTGGATAATGAAGAAAAGTGGCTTAATTTTGCCAGACACGGGTTTACTTAAATACGTCTATGTAATAATACATTTAACTGGTACACTCTTTATTGTCAGCCAATATGTAGAACTGTACGTAATAAGATCAGATATAAATCTTGTTATATCAAACCTGATGATTACAATGATGAGTGAAGTGTGTTTCTTGAAAGCTGACTCGTGCGTGTTCTGGCAAAAACAGTGGAGAGAACTTATTGATTATATAACAGAAGCTGATAAATTTGAAAGAGATAATAGTGATCAGGTGAAACGCAAAATCTTTGATAAGTATAAAACATACTGTCGCAAAATATCTTACAGCTATTGGGCCATAACGTTCACAACTTTCATAGTACTTATTAGCACTCCATTAATACATTTTTTACCTTTCCCATCACAAAATGAGGTTCCTCAAAATAGAACGGAGGTATTTTCACCCATATTCAGCTCATGGATGCCGTTTGATAAATATAGTTCCCCAGGATGTTGGATCACTGCGTTATGGCACATTTCGTTATGCGCATCTGGAGGGCTTAGTATGACTGCTTATGATTGCAGTTCTATCGTAATAATGATGTTTTTTGAATGTAAACTGGATTTGTTCAGACAGAGGTGTAGAGAAATGTTGGGCAGCAATGACAAAGCAATTTCAGATCAAGATGCTGAAATCGTCATCCGTCAACTTCATGAAATCCACATAAAAATAATAAAGTAAGTTTATAAATAACTATATTCGAAATGGAATTTTTTTATTTGAATTTTTTTTATTACTTGGCAACTAACTACTTATCACTTGGCAGCTTCAATCTTGATGTCTTTGTATACCTATACCGTTTCAAACGACTTCAAAAAGAAGGAAGTTCTCAACTTAGTTGTATTTTTTTATGTTTGTTACCTCATAAATCCGTGACTTCCAAACCGACTTGGAAAATCTTTTTTTATTTGAATGAAATACTTATAGATGGGTCCAATAGAAATTAGCTCAGTAGTTTAATATTTAGATCAAAATAACTGGTTTGTCACAATTGAAGTCGGTTTTTTTTGTGGGACACAATATTAATTTCCTACAACGCATATAGTAACTAATAAAAATATCTACAAATCATATTCGGATAGAAAAACTTCACCTATACTGTTAAAGATTTAGATTTTTAAAAGTTTACATAGTTAGGTAAAATATAGGTATAAATTGTGACATAAGAAAAGGGTGGTATTGGCGGTATAGTAATAATATACTTACGCATATTTACTTACAAGCAAAACGCGACGGTTGCCACTTCCAATAAGGTGAACTATCATGTTGATAGCCATTCATACAGTTTTAAAAATGCCAATAAAGTTGTATATACGTATATTTTACCATAAAACGTTCTCGTCAGCTGGGCCGTTAATTTGTTTGCCATTCCCAATTGTATAAAAAAAAAACAATCACAACGGGTGAGTTAAGGAATTTGTCAATTTTGTGATGTTTCAATTTACTATATAAATAGATGAGGTACTCAATTTGTATTTTTATATGTTTGTTTACTCACCATCATTTATAAATCGATTTAGAAAATTATTTTTAACTTAAATTGGTATATTTTGAGATTGGTCCCTAAAAATTTTACAAAACCGGTTCAATAGTTTTTAAATCAAAGTAATAAATAATGGTTTACCCATAAGTAATCATTGGAATATGTACTCCAAAAGATACGCTGCAAGTCGAATGGCTAATTTTGTTATTGTTTTCAAAGCTAAGCTAAAACTGAAATCTCGGTATAGATGTTTCTTCAATGAATAGTACTTTTTTAAAGCATCCTGCTTTAAAATAGTTATTAATCTAAGTAAAAGTAAGACAAATAATATGGTAAATTTTATTATTTTATAATTTTTTTTATGCAACTTAGAATGTCAAACAAGTTGACGGCCCACCTGATGGAAAGTGGTAACCGTCGCCTATAGACATGAGCAGTACTATGTGCATTTGTTTTTAATTTATTAATAATAACAGAAAAATATTAGATACCTATTATTATTCCTTATCTGTTTAGTAATTTGATAGCTAATTGATATGTTAAAACATTATATTTATCTATTATTAATTTTAGATTTACCTAAGGAAATGTCTTAACTACATGCGGATATTTATGTATATAACAGAAAATTTGTGATCCTAATATAACGATAAGATAATATAACAGTCGAAGTATTTTAAATTCATAGTTACAATTGAAAGATTTCAAATTCGTAATTAGGTATTGAAGTCTCTTGAAAAATCTCGAACCAATAGCTTTTCGAGTTAAAGATAGGGACTGCTAGTAATAGGGAGATCAGTGCTCTTACTAAGAATATTGATATCAATATATATATATATATATATATATATATATATATATATATATATATATATATATATATATATATATATATATATATTTATTTTCGTTTTAGTGCTTACTACGACAATGTCAACTCGAACGAATTTTTTTCCTTTTGTCGCAGGATATGATTTGTGTATTAAGTATTTCATACATCAGTAAATCAGCGTTTGTCTTACCTACTCATACATTTCATCGAGTGCATTTGCAATCAACACAGATACTGATGAGCTACTGATGTTCTATACAATAAATTTGATTTGTTAATGAAATGTAAATTATTGTAATTTATACAAATTTACGCAAAACTTTGACTTTTGGTCACATTCAAATTCGTATTCTTTAATCATAGAAATGCTTAAGTTACAATACGTCTAACCTAGCTTAACAAAAAAAAAAACTTCTTACTGTATACAATTTAAGCTGTACGAATATGTACGTATTGTGCCAAAATAGTAGATATCCATAAAATTAATATAAATAATATAAAAAAAAAACAACCAACGGTAAATTTCATTTTAATCAGTCTTAAACATTCAGAATTACGTATCTAATTTCGAGATTAGATTCTAGCCGTAGACTTGTTGTAGGTACATTGAAATAGAAGTGGAATTTATCTACTTATAATAAATTATACATTAAATTATAGAGATAAAAGAAACACTAGGTGTCATGTCGTATAGGGAAGTCAAGGATATGGCCTGGGATAGAACTGGCTGGAAGAAGATGCATAAATAAGTTGCACCGACAAGAGGAAACTCTTAAATGAAAAGAGAGAGAATAAATTATATGCATTCTGTCCTTCAGTTGCACCCAGGATGTAACAATTTACTGTTTTTCTAATATTTAATTGAAAATAAACAAAATACATATTATTATTATTTGTATCTACATATATTATATCAATTTTATCGATATACATATAACATCTTCAACACATCAACGCGATTCACTACAACGAACCATAATCCGTAACGGTTCAACTTCAAAATAAAATAATAATTACATACATCCGGTCGAGTCAAAATTCAATTTCTATTAACTAAATTATGGTGCACTTTGTTTCAGATACATGAGATTGTTCAATTCCCTGTTATCACCGCTAATGTTCTTTTACATATTTAATTGTTCGCTAATGCTTTGCGCTTGTGGATATCAGATTACAGTAAGTTATTAAAATAGTTCTAGGTAATATTTAACACGAATTTATTAAGTACTTATACTATAAAAATTAATATAATTTCTTAAAATTAACTTCTAGGTTCATAATATTAACGTTTACCTCGGCCGGGAGTGTTCTTTACTATACCACGGAAGGAATATTACAATGTGGCATTTTTTAAATCTATTTTTCATTAATGTATTAAATTTGCTGATTTTTACCGCTTGTAAACTATTTTTTTCTCTCTATAGATATTTCGGGATTTCTTCTTAGTACTAAATATTCAAATTATTGGAATATATTACCCTTGTGCAAAATTTTAAAGCAAAATTTTTTTTGGATCAAACAGTTACCACTGTGTAAATCACCAGTCAGTTACTTTCTTGATAAAAAAGAATAGAGGATTAGGCTAATGGATGTCGACAAGACCTAGCAGCTTTATTGCTTTCGGGTCCCTATCAGGTCGACGTTCAAGCGCTCATCTTTGAATCCATAGTGGTCAGAGCCGGCTATAGTCTACACGGAGACCCTAAGCAAGATTTTGAAGAATTTACTCGGAAGTAACAATTGTAGCATGGTTTCCGTGATAGAAAACTTGGAGATCCACCTGATTTTTTGTAGATGGGAGCAGCTCTGCTACACATAATTTAAATATACTTCCAGCAGTATTTTCAAACAGATACTACATTGTAACCTTCACGAAAAGAGCATATTACTTAAATGTCGGCAACACAACTACACTTTCTCTGATGTTGCAGTAGCCTATGACCAGCGGTAATCACTTACCATGCCAAGCTCGTTTGTCCCTCATATTATATACCTGTATATCACTTTTCTATTATTTTTTTTTTTATTTTATTAAAGTTAACAAAGAGTTATTTCATATTATTTAAATTATTTGCAGTCTACGTCAAATGCAGCCCAACGATTACTAGTGGGAGAATACTTTGTATTCGGTATCGCACAACTCTTTGTATTCTGCTGGCATAGTAATAAAGTAATTGTTAAAGTGAGTTATACTATAATATATGTATATAGTTAATTATCAATATTCTTTTATTATCATTGGTATCATCATCATCTTATCAGCTTTCAACTTTCTACTGCTGAACACAAGTCTTCCACTTTGGGGTTTTACCAGTAAATGCCACGATTGGCAACCGCAGTTAGGCTTTAAATATGTTTTAAGAGGGACGCTGCTGCCTATCCCTCGCCCTCCCCTAGTTGCCTCTTACGATACCCACGGGAAAGGTATGCCTATTACAAAAATTGTTTATAATTTTTTTAGATCGATAGTCTTATGTATGGGCCTTTTGAGAGCAACTGGTGTCCAGCCAGCGTTCGGCAGAAAAAATATGTTTTGTTTCTAAGTGGGCAACTACGAATCCAACACATCTTCACCGCTGGACCATTCACTAACCTAACACTGTCTACTTTCATTACGGTAAAATATATCTATTTGTTTTTTATGACTAAACCTATCGGAAGTGGTAGCACATGAGGGGTATAATATTGCAAGTTATTTGTAATATTCAGTGATATCTGTGGCATTGTTCATCTCTGTAGGTGACGGTTACAAACCATTCATTCCCGATTTGGACTAGCGCAACGAGGGTTCCGTACAAAATTATCAAGTTAAATTTTTTGTTGTGAAATAATTACAAATTTACGGTTTTTGGATTTTCTTTTAGATAGGTAAGATATATGACATCTCTTGTCTAATTTCATGATTATTGGTCAATGGGAAGTACCCTATAGGTTTTATTTCCCTTTTTTTTTAGTACGTTTGTTCCGTTGTGGAACAGGCTAAGGTCGGAGACCATGCTGCCTAGTCTTCAATATGATAATTTATCTGGAATTTTGTTTCCCTTTGCAAATGTCAAAATATGTGATATAAATGGAACATAAACGGCCGTATCTTTTGATTGCGTCACTATAGAAGGTTGATTTTTTTTCACTACTTTAAGAGATTGCAGACCTGAGTATATGATATTAATATGAACTTGATACCTCCACGTGTTCCTAAGAAAAAGGGTCTTGACAGATTAACGGACGGACGGACAAAGAAGTGATACTATAAGAACTAAAGAACGAAATGAACGAACTTTACTTTAGTCCAATCATACTCAACCTTTTTTTATAAAGGCCACAAAGATGTTTTAGTTATAATGCCGCGAGCCACAGTATTTATTTATTTAGGTATTATTTATATATTTATTTTGTGTATAAAAAACGTAATTCAAGTTTAAAGACAATTTAAAACTATATATAAGAATATATAACCAAGGGGAAAGAGAGCACACTTTATACAAGCTACGTAAAACGACTTGGTCAGAATTTACTTACTAGATTTTACCAATTTACATAGAAAAAAATCCTTCTTTTCTCGTTATGTTGGCCAGCCTGATATAATTCAAATGGAAACATTAAACGTAATTTTATAATGATACTGTGGTTAAATAGTTTAAATACTTCTTATTGAAACGCGAATAATGTGATAAAAGAAATATATAAATTTTATGGCCGATGAACATTTTAGAAAAATAAAACGTTCTTAAATATTTTCGTAAACACAAGTTTTCAACAATTCCCGTAATATCTGGTTAATTTCTATAGTAGACCTGGTAATAGAGTCAATATTAATTATATATAATCGTAATTCTAATAAAAATAATTGATGTTTTTTGGCCAAATCCATAAATTAAAAACATGGAAGTTACACAAGACTGATTGTAACTTAACGCGCGATAGGGTTACCTATTGTGGTACTATTTTACTCCGTGCGCTTACTTTTTCTCTGGATCCGCGCGAAATTTAAAACTCACAAACGCTAGACGGGCCCGAAGGCTACAAGTTGAATGTAGCGGCCTTAGCTGCTTTTAACATTTAGTAATTATATAGTACTGTCATAATATAATACGATATACCTATCTAGACAGTGTCATGATTTATTATTATGATTCCGTACTAAAAAGATAAAAAGGTAAACTTATGGTGCGACTTTGTCCTGTCGCCCGTTTGTCACAATTTTATATCTCGCATTTAACAATGAATAACAATAACTAACTTTTTTTTTATTTTTGGCTAAAAAGCGTTACAAAAGCGTTGCCGTGTGAGTTTAACTCTTACCTGAGCAGTTTTTATTTTTATTACAGTTTATTAAGTTACAATATCTTTTTTTTTCAGATTTTGAAAGGAGCATACAGTTATTACATGTTGCTAAGAAAATAAAAAATAAATCAGGCAACTGATGCTGGAGTTTGTTGCACCATCATCATATTAAATTTTTATTGTTTTAACCTGACCACGGTCAAAATAAGGAATGAAGTTTTCATGTATAAGCAAAGACAAGTTAGAGCGTGAATATGCACCTTTTTAAAGGAGCGTAAATGGAACGGGACCCCCATTTTATTATTGTTACCACCTAATGGCATAATAATAGACAGACAACTATTTCTTAGTATATTTTTATTCGACTTAGTCCGAAAATCTGTATCGATTTGGCGATTGGCAACACTACCTAATTTTTGTGCTTGTTTTGATTTTCAAGTTGTCAGTTTATGTCGGCAAGTTTTAATAATTTATTTATTTTTAATATAATATTAATTGCTTTATTACTACTATTATTGTATTAAATATAAATTGATACAATGGCGAATTCCATAAACAAATTTATACCAGTTGCTCTTTTCTGTTTCGGTTTACTAAAAACAGGTATGTAATGGGCGTGTTACTCGCATTGATTTGAAATTTTTACACTATTTTATTTTAATATATATTTTTCTTTAGTTATTTGTATAAACTGCTATCAGTGCTCGGGAACAGATGCTACCAACTCATTTGAGTGCAATGAATTTCTCGACAATGATATTGATATGGTCCCTACAGATTGCACTACTATTCATGACGCTAAATATTGTATAAAACATGTAGGACGTAACGAAGGTGAGACAGTTGAATAAATCTCTAGGATCTAATGACAAATATCAGTCTACTAACTTGGTGCAAGAATTTTTTACTATACCTACAACTAATAAATTCGTTGGGGGGATGCATGTGGTTTATTAATATTTTCATTAGGTGTTTTGTTAATATTCGTTGAAAATAACAAGCACAAGTATAAAGAAGTATAAAAATTGTCTTTTAAAGGCATAACTAATAAAAATAGATCTTCATCATCATGGTTTCTGAGAGTGACGACATTAAGTTTTACTTGATAGATTATATTGTTAACCATGAGGTTGCTAGTCACCATTGCTATGAATCTTTGTCTTCTATTCAATATACATTTTTTTATGTTAAAGAAAATTGCTATATCATCTGAGGCCTGTTGTAAATTAAACAGACGAGGCTCTTCTTTTACTTAAACAAGCTTTATATTGTTGTTTAATTTTAGGCCAGGGGCTCTCAGGTGGAAGGTCTGTGGTATTTTGCTTGATCTGTCACCCTATTGTTCTCATCATATCATTTGTTAACCAACCACTTAAATATAGATCCCCCTATAAGGAGAGTTTTTGTTGCCATGCTTAGCAGGCAGGTTGACAACTACAGTTAGGCTTTGGCAGTTGACATTTTAAAAAGAACACTGCTGCCAATTCCTTGACCATTTAGTTGCCTTAGTCGCTCCTTACAACCTCCTTGGGAATCAAAGGGGTGGCTTATTCTATGCCATTCAGAACCACATGGTACCATATTGTTGTCTCACTACTGAAATTTATTCTTTTGTTATTCAATTACTCCATTCTTACAGGTTATTAAATAATTATATTGCTTCAATTATTTTGCCTATGTGAAAGAATCTCACATAATAGTGTTAATAGTATTATAGCTGGAATTTTATGGAACAAATAGGCTAGTACTAGAACAGCGATTATCAAAGTGGTTACATATTTCAGGTTTAATAAATTAGATGAAAGGTGTTTGCAGCGTATACTTATAAAATAATTTGTTAATTTAATTCATAATTAAACACTTTTATTTATGACTATTATTAAACATATTTCAATAATTATTAAGTTATTGAATTTTTTTTCAATATGAAATGTGATTTTCATATTTCTAATTCATAATTTCATGACTTGATATTTTAATACTGTTAACATGTTTAATCTTTCTTGTGTAGAGCTTATTTTGTTTAATTAATAAAACTAACTATATTAATAATAATGTAGGTATAGCAATAGACTGTTACCAGTGCAACACATCAACAACAATGGAATGTGGTGATGGTCTAATGAATTTGGATGGTGGACTGTTAAAGCCAATATCATGCGAACATGTGCACAATGCTCAATATTGCATTAAACTTACAGGTCTTTACTAACATAATAAGGGCTTCAAAATGAGTAGTTTTATATACATTGCAGTGCCAGAAGTGTCACAGTACATTAAGTACTGGATTAGTGACTGATCCTGCTTAGGGTAGGTGTTAATTGAATATACAAACCTTCTATAAAAAGAAAGTTTAAATGAGTGGGTAGTAACTTTGTTCTATATTTAAAGATTGTTACAACCTTAAATATTACTGTTGGATATGAGGTTCATTCTTTCTAAATTAAAAGAACTATACTATTTTTATGACAGTTAGCTTTGTATATTTTGAATTTTCCCTTATACATTTGTATTATGCTGACATAAGCTTTCATGAAATCCTTGGAATGTAGAGTGACATTACAATATAACTCCATTATCACAGTTTTTGATATAGTGTAATATAACTAATTTTGCTCTCTTATTGCCAACTGCTGTCTTTATTTTCTTATCAGATTGAATACTATCTTATTTCTTAAATCAGAGCAAACAATAAACATATACAAAATTTCATGAAAATCAGTTGGTCGGTTTCAGAGATTAGCACAAATGAAAAATAAATATAAATAATTTTTGTACTGTCATATTTCTGGATTACTGTATCTAATCACCGCCAATAATACTGCACTTGGTTTTTAAGTTTTACAGCACAAGTAATGTAATTATTAATATATTCACTTGGATGGATAGTTGCCAAATATGGTATGTATGCATTAATTATTCACAGAGGCTGGTTAATGATTTCATTAAGTGTTTACTCTAAGTAAATAAAAAGTGCAAACATTAAGAGAAAATTATGTCTCTATATCAAAGTGTTTTCATCAATCAGCCTTCATTGAGCTTTCATAGAATAATTTAATTGTATATATTGAAAAAAGTCTTCATGATACGATTTATATAATTAGATACTTAAAAATTCTATAACTTTAATGTATACTATATATAATACATAATTCTTATAACACTATCATTTGCAAAAATGCACTATTGTGTTTTGATTTTATAAATTCACATTTAACTATTTACTGTTTATTATTAAAACCCTCAATATAACTATCTCCATTTTTTATTAAATATACTTTATTAGGTTGAAAATGATGAATGGACATACTATTAAATTCAAAATTTTAGTACTTAAACATTTTATTTTAATGTTAATGTATTTTTAGGTGGTATTAGCACCAAAAGATTTTGTTCATCACTCGATCTTGGTAACTATTGCAATTATGTGCGTGAACCTGGTGATAAGCTGGAGTACAGGACTTGCATTTACACATGTGGCAGTGACGGATGCAACACAGCATCCAACAAGAGGGTATCGACACTATATTTATTGTTTAGTTTCTTTTTAATTAAATGTATAATTTCTTGAGGACTATCAAGTTTGTTAGATTTAGAAAATGTACATTATAGAAGTGAATAATTGTACCATTTATTATGTACTGTTAGTTTATTAATGTTAGTTGTAATGTGTTCAATATTTGTCTATTTATATACTTGCTTTTTACCCGCTACTCGACGAAAAACTAATTAAATATATCACTACTAGATGGCGTATATAGATTAAACATACACCAGATTTTAAGTTACACTTTTAGAAACCAACTTTGAAAAGCGCATCCAATTTGATGTAGTAGTTTTAGCGTCATGCTGAAACAAACATACCGACAGACAAAATTTAAAAAAATAATAGTTATGGCATTTATTAATTTTATTAAAACCTCTCATATTAATTTTTTTTAATATGTTTCATTTTCTAGTTAGAATTGTATTAGTTGCGAGTTAAGGTACACTTATAATACCAGGCACCATTGATACAATAAATTAACAAAGATAGCTTTCACTTTTTAAAGACATTTTTATTTATAGTCATAATAGTGTATATAATGGCAACCTCTTGGCTTAACCAGTCCTCATAAAATTTTATCTTCTCCATTTCGAAGTCTTTATATATTCTTAATCCATAAAATTATTAAGAGAATCTCTATCATTGCCTTGTAATGTTGCAAAAGTACAAGGTTTTAAGAACAACTTCCTAGTCACAGGATTTTATTCATGTTAGAATGAATACCATCGCATGTTTACTGATTGCTCCTCATATGGTAAATGTCACCAGTTTGGAGTAATGTCTGTTAGTTTCAAGTAGTTTTAATTTTAAAATGTGATTGACTATGACTTATTTTATGTATGTTTTTATTATATTGATTGAACTGTGTGTAATTGTGTGAGTAATATTTTAATATTAAATATATTTTAGAAAGATTGGTTTTTTATTTATGAAAATACCAATAAGTGGGATCATGTCATACATTTATTGATGTGATGTTTATGAAACTTTCAATTTATTGAATAAGAAGGCATGAGATACTGTTCAAACATTTATTGAAAATTTGTGCTACATAAGCATGATATAAAAATACATAATAAATATTAACACCAACTTAGCTACAAAATTATCAATCCAGCTAATTCACAATAATACTTTCATTTCACTTACCTTACTAAATATTATGCATTTTATATTGAATATGGAATGTACATAACATACAGGATTACATTTTAAATTATGCACTGTTTAAAAAATGGCAAGATTTTAATACATTTATACGATTTGTAGCTGCAATATTGAGATTTTCATTACATTATATTGAATTCATGATATAGCAAATTGATGTAAAATATTAGTAAGATAAAGGTCTAGCACCTGTTCTCTAACTTCTATAATGTGGGTCTCGAAATCTTTAGTCTTATTTTATGTACATAAAAGTTCAGGTAACTTTTTTGTACAGTTCTTATAGAGCAACTCGTAATTTCTTACATAAGAAAAGTAAATGCTCGAACTTATAAAAAAAAATTTATAACTATTAGTATGTCATATTTGTAAATAAAGTAAACACAAACACAATAAAATAACAGGTAACACATTTTTTACACAATAATGTAAATCAGACTATAAAACAATTACTAACAAGATGTAAACTAAATTATAAAACTGGAATAGAATTAATCATAATCATGTGCATATAAAAAAGTGCTTGCCAGCAAATTGAACATTATACTACAGGCCCTTGGTAAATTTCGAAGTTTTCAAAACTATATTCGGAACTACTGTTTTGCGAAATAATATATTTGTATATTATGTGACGACATATTTTGAAGTTTAAGTTCATAGGTGAATTGAATTTACCGGCTGGTAGGTTTTCTTCATCTCAATAGTAGTAAAAAAAAAAAACTAAAATTTTACCAGCTTCTAGGTAATTTCTGCAAATAATATGTATAAGTAGGCATTCGGTATGTTTTCATAGTCACGAGATCATTCTGGTTACATACAGAGTGTAAACTTTACCTTAACCTATATGTAGTCATACCATTCATTTTGCAATGATCCTTTATCAACAATTCCAAAATATCACTCAAGACCTAAAATAATTGTTGCTGTACCATCTAAAAATATATTGATCTTATTTTAAACAGTTTATTTAAACGACCCGAAACTGACAGTAGTGCCTATAATACTAGTATCGTTCTAAATATAATTCACTCTGGGCCACTCAATCCTTTCAAAATTTATTATAGGCCTTTAGTCTTACTAAACAAACATCTTAGAATAACCCTGATAGTCATTGCACATAATTCAAATTGGAATTTTGCTATTAAAACTTAAATCATTATCATACAAAATACATTAAATCGAAAATTATTTGTGACCCATAAATAAATGACACATGTCATGGATTTATCACAAGTTTTGCTATATATAGCAAAAATCAAGGCCTTTCCATTACCTAAATAATAGGCCAAACGTTGAGACAAGCTTAATACTAAAATACTATTTGCATATAAATAAAAAAAAAAAAATACAAAATATGTATGTATCAATATAACAATACTAAATCATTGACACTCGAATGTAAAAAATTTGGAATGACTATTTTCATTCGTAAAAATGTAAACTATGAGTATAAATTGAGACATCATGAGGCGATGTAAATAAGTAGTGCTATCTAAACGCTACAATGGTCGTGACCTTTGAGCACTGATATAGTTTCTTATTTGTCACATAAATGCCAATTATTATTATAGATGATCATATTACTTAGCAAATGACTTGTATAGAACTGCTACTAGCAAGCTCACAAATTTATTAAACGCAGCATAGGCCTAATAAAAATATATTGTTTCACAAAGTGAGCAAGTGAAATAAATGCGCAAAGAATATCACATTTATAGTTTTAGTCCTGCCTATTATTTTTATCTGTAATGAAATAATTTAAATCTAATTCATTCAAGTATAGCTTTCTTTTCTTTTATATAATAGGCGATTATTCTTTAGCTCTTTCTAGCGCAATAATTAACCATTAATATTGTGACATTACAAACACATGGAATATCACTTTGTTTTATTTAGCTTCTAATCCACGTTTATACCTTTAGCACGAAATTGCAAAAGAAACCTGATTTTAAATGACAAGGCAAGCATTATGTGATATTTGTTTATAGTATTGTTGAAAAAGCTTGTAAACTTCAAATTAACATGAAGTCGTAAACTACATGTTTCACAATATCACAATAAGCATTGTAGCCTCATTATTAAGCGGTCAGGACAAACTCAATTACAGCGCAAATTCATTCAGTTTGATTCCTCACGTTGTAGTCGTGCCTGTAACGCCGCAACATGTTGCTCCAGCTCTCGCACGCGTTGCTGACTGTTCTGCAATTGTCGCTTAACTATTCTCAGTTCTTCGCCTTGTCGATTAAATGCGAGTCGTAACTAATGAGAAAAAAGCGTATTAATTAAATTGTATTTCTTTTTTATTTTCAAATTTTATACAATTCCACGATATATTCGTAAAATTCTTTTGCCCTAATATCTATAAAATTGTTTCGTATTACAGTAAATTATTAAAGTGCCTAATGTAACGATTATTCCTGATTACTATTAAAATATATGATAAAATTTTTAGGGAATCTGTACAGCTTGAATATCTTTATGATGATGCATTATGCGATATGGTAGTTAAATTACAAGGTAGAGAGGCATAACACCATTGTTCTGGCGGAATAGGAATTTTTAGTAATCAGGTCTGAACAGCACATTGCTAGCTCATTGATGCATTGCCAGCTTATTCCGATGGCACAGGCTCAGCTGCCATTTCATTCTCATCTATTGAAAATACACAATTTTCTTTAGTAATGGTAGCACATGAGAGGTGTCATGTATGTACAAATTATTCTGTGACATAATAAAAAACGCCACTTACCTCATGTTCAGTGCTAAATACATCTCCCTGGTTGATCTGCTTGTAGAGCGGTACTGGCTCTGCGTCGCCGGTTTGCTTGCCAAACATACGCTGCAACTGATGGAACTTCGTGTTTTGATTCGCATTCGTCTTCTGAGACTTCTCCATTATGGTCTGCAATATAATAAATTGATTTATTAGACTCTGTAGTCTGTACACTGCTTGTATGGCAAGCAAGACAGCTTAGCCTTTGTTCTGCAAGCGGTAATAAATGCGTCCGCTTAACCGTTTTGGTATTTTCATGGCTCGTGTTCTAAGAGTAAAATAAGATTGGTCAGCAACAGACGCTGCAGTAAGAACGTGTGTCTTTCTCATTTGCATGTGTAAATATAAAATTATGTATAATATTGTAAAAACATCTTTTCACACCTAGGAGTCATAGCTAAATTTAAGGAGAAGGAGGACTGTGCCTACCCTGAACTCGAGCGGAGTTTTATGTGCATAGACATGTCGGAGACCATTGTTAGTATTGAGGTTTAACAGCCCTATTGTGGGGGGAAAGGGATTGTTAGTAATGGAGTTTGACAGCCCCATTGCTAGCAATATGCCCTATCAGGTCGACCTCCACGTGGTTCCCCCTGGAAACCATCGTGAACAATTCTTGTTGAATTCGTCACGATGGGCTAACTGACCTACTTCATCCTCATCTATCATCCTTCACTGGTGCCCCGCCGGTGTATACCGATAGCGCGGGTGGGGTTGCCATTCCATTATCATCCATTAAAAAAAAAAAAAAAAAAAAAAACAGCCCTATTGTTAGCAATACACCCTATCAAGTCAACCTCTATACTGTTTCCTCTGGAAAGCATAGTGGTTAATTCTTGTTCAATTGGTCACTGTTAAATATTTTCTACTTTTTTAGTCAATTGTAAATATATACCTGGTTAGCGTCGTTGTCGTTGGTGTGGTTTTCAGGCTGCCAAGTACCGAGCGGCCGATAGTCGGGCGTCGTTTCCCGCGAGAGGAACGCGAACTTCTTACGATTATTGGCATCTTGTGGCTGTAGCGCTGGTGCTTCTTTGCTGCTAGTACGAGGCTTGTGGGTAGATATTGTTACACCTACAATTATACAAATTAAATGCTATTTACTAGTTAGTAAGCGTACGAGACTACACGAGACTGACTGAATCTATTTTGTATTTTTTTTTATATTCATAATATAGGTCTATCATGAACATTGATTAAGATTCATAGACAAATCTAAAAAATACATAATTTAAAATAATATAAATTTACAGAAATATGTATCAATACATAATATTATATACCATGAAATCATTAAAAAAAAAACAAAATAAAAAATAAACCTACTAATTAATGTACAACCAAAACTGTTACATAGAATTTTACAATAATTACAGATAAAATATATTATTTACGCCTATTTTAACACAACTAGTGGTCATACTTGCCTGTTTTCATACTAATGAGCAATGGTGATGCATTCATGCCACTTAACCAATCCTTTGCGGAAAGCGCTGGTAGTGGTGCGGCTGTATCTGGATATAAATCCTCCTAGAAAACAATAAATTTCATTAATATAATCAAATTATCGATTTTTAAAATTAACCAGAAATGAAAATTACACAGTAAATTCGAGCTCAGAATCTTCTGTAAAATTGATAACAAAAAGTTACGGTAAAAAAAAATCTATTTGCAGAAATGTACATAAAAAGTCGTCTAGAGTGGCTACCTATGGGTAATATGGGTATCGTAGACATGACACTGTCATCAATGATATCAATGGTGCTGTGCATGTCTATAGGCGAAGTCTATTTACCATTAGATGGATCCTCAGTTTATTTGACATTCTATTTCATATAAATATAGAGTAAAATATTTATGGTCACAGCTTATTTACAGGTTAAAGCAAATGATTATGATAGCTCTATGATTTAGATATATAATTATTTTTACCTGAAAGCAGTCCGACTTTCTAGGTACAATCATGGAGATAGGCTCACATAGCCCGCGTGATGTGTGAAGTTTGTAGAAACGGAAAACTTCACATGCGGCCGTATTTACACCACGCTTGGGCATGAAGCCTAGACCTCTCTGAAATAAAAATAAACGGACATGATATTTTTACGACAATTTGCATAAAAGCAAAACCCAAACTCCCGAGGTTATACAGGGAAAACTATGTTTTCATTTCAGTCAGGATTCTCTTTACAATACACCTATGGTTATGGATAACTGCAAAACCAAAGTACATGTTAGAGCATGTACTTTGGTACATGGTCTAACATGTGGTGGTTTTACATAGTAATAATAATAATAGCGTCAGATTATACAATATAAACTAACCAGTATAAGCTATACTATAGTAATATAGTCTTTCTATTATATATATATATATATATATATATATATATATATATATATATATATATATATATATATATATATATATAGAATATATAAGTAATATAAGTAAGTAGTAATATAGTATAGCTGGAACTGGTCCACCATCACAGATAGGAACCTGGTGTTTTTGGAATGTAAATAACAATAGATTTACACAACGTTGGAACAAACCACTTTAGATGCACTACCTACTGTAGAGATACGGCTGAACGCGTCGTGTTAGTATAGGAGGTTTAAACTTTTTTGGCGATTTTTGACCCGTCTTTCTTTGGTGAAAATATTCAGTTTCACCATTTGAACATGTTTAATAATTAATTCATAAAAGTTGTAATAATGAACTATACAAATTATTAAAATTTTGTTAATGATTTTATATAAAATAACTTATCTACACATCTATGTATAAAATTGGTTTATGAACAATATTTACCTGTGGATTTCCAGACAGGAATTGGTTGAGAAAATGCACGTATGGTGGTTCATCGACAACTTCGTAATATCTGATGTTCCCGTCACCCTTGCCAGCAAGGTATACCTGTATAAAAATATAATAAAATAGGTAAATTAAAAAAGTAAGTTTCATCATCATCACTGGGGGGTTATGCCAGTAGTTGCCACGCTTGGCTGGCGGGATGGCAACCGCAGTTTGGTTTTTGGTGATGTTTTAGGAGGGACACTGCTCCATCTCTCAGCCATAAATTTGGTTAAATTAGTATAATTGTAGAATTTTATAAGTCTTTTACAATAGTTACAAATAAAGTTGCTGATGACGAAAAGTGGTAAATGAATTTTAGTTTTTAAGAAAAAATATTTTTACTAATATTATTATTTGATCTTACCATATTAGTATCGTAGTCGTAGTACGGGAACACTACACCCGATGAGCTGTCGATGGTCTCGCATACAAGTGGTTTGGATAGGTCGTGCTGATCCCACACAGCGTACTGCCGGTCACTGTACCGCGAGAAGCCGGTGGTCAACACCTTAGCCTGGCTGCCTAGGAACGTGCATTTGGACGCCTTAGTGCCTAAGTGGCAGGGGCCTTCCTGTAATTATGAAATAATTATTTATTTAAAAAGAAGGACTACTCGGCAATAGTTCATGCTCCACAAAAATTTACGTTTTCTGGAGCGTCTTTTACTCTTGATCATTGCTAACAATATATCCTGTCGGTCCACCTCTACGAGGTTCCGTGTGGAAACCACCGTGGTCAATTCCTGATGAATAGGATTTGCTTTGTATAAACATACCAGAGTAAATATATTAATCTTTTAATATTATATCCTCATTGCTAGATCTATTTAACTCAGCGAGTTATGCAAAGCAAATCTTGTTATGATTTATCTACTTGTAATCTACTTGGTTAGACTAACCATATTTCTACATATAATTGCTTAATCACAAGACGAAAATTTGAGGTACAATTAAACTAACACATTATATTCTTACTGTCACCATACGAAAAAAAAAAATTATCATCTTTTTCAAATTTTGCTAATATAACTGTAACTAGACGAAAACTGCACATGGAAGATATTTCAGTAAAATTGATATGAGGAGTTAAGACTCCTCGTATAAAAAATATTGTTTTGGCATCTATTAGTATTATATATAAGTAATATTTTTTACAAACTTTCTCTATTGATCTGTATATTTGTTTCAGCATCATGTAAACACTATTGCATCAAATAGGACGCGATTTTCGAAATTGTATTTCTGAAGGTTTAACTTAAAATCTTGATACGCTACCTCGAAGTGGCATATTTATTAGTCTTCCCAACTTCTGAAATCTACGTGTACGAAGTTTCAAATAGAATAATTACTTACTGACAATACAATCCCTCGTCTAGGTTCGATGACACGTAGTTTTTTGTCTTTGCACGTAGTGGCTAGCAATGAGCCATCACGATTGAACGACATGCAATATATGACATCACTATGACAGTCTATAACTTTCACTGCTTCTCCTTTACCCACATCCCACACGAAAATCTGGAATTATTTCAAATTTTATTTTAATAAAGTTCAGATAGGTAAGGAAATGAATTGCTTTATATATACATTCACAAAATTTAGTAGTAAAAAAGAATAATTAATGCACATTTTTGAACACTAAATGCCCCCTGACAACTAAACACTTTCTGCTTAATTTTTTGATAGTTATTAGCGAACATTTTGAAAAGAGAACCAATACTGAAATGAATTTCATTAATTCTTAATAAGCATTAGAAATGGTATAATTACGATAGGCGAGGTTACTAATAAGGAATAGAAGAAAACATTACTGAAACTTTTGTTGAGATATTATAATAATGGATAATCATAACGGTACTGTTTTAATATCTTCGGCGATTCACTGAATATCATGGCATCACGCAACATTGCCTTACTATATTCAAATCCAGTATCGCGTGACACTCAAATGTTTGAGTTCACCGTATAGTCGATTCTGTGCGATCGCAATAAATTGGGTCGTATAAGTTGGTTGCATTTGCATTGTGTGGTTGTAATATGTAAGTATAAGTATAGTATATATAGTGGGGTAACAATAGGCTGAATAAGTAAGCAAAATGTAACGGGTCCTCATGCTGACTCAGCATGCCGGGCCCGGAGTTTTAGAGTCGCCATGGGAAAAGAAAGAATTTTTTGAATAAATTTATAATTCTTTTTTTATACAACATAATATTTTTTTTTTTTTTTAAATTGCTAGATTTCAAAAAGGTATTTTCAAGTCAAACCAACAATAGACATTAATCGTAATAGTGTTGGTAAGTATGAATATCTGTTTAGTGATATATTATTATAAAAAAAATTAAAACTACAAGATTTAGATAGAGAGGACCCCACGCTGCATTAGTTACGGCACTTAACACCTATTGGCTAATTAATCAGTTAGAGAAAAAAAGTCTGAAAATCTAGTCATTAGTGGTGGTGAGAAGCGAGACTTATATTTAAATCTAGAATATACAAGAAATTTAAGATAAAATGTATAATTAGGCATAAAATTATGCAGTAGACGAAGCCTCACAATCCCTAAGGTAAAATGCGCTCAGTGCACAGACCGTACGATCTTGGCATTCTAGAGTGCAGTAGCTACTTATTTATCTATGACACTTAATTTTTTTATTAATTAACATTTGTTTTTAAACATTAGCCATTACATAAGTACATTATCAGATATCTAATACCTAATTTTTGTGATTTTTTAAAATGGAAAAATAACATTTTTTATGTAAACGTAAAAGTCAGGGTCACATTACATTCTTAATTATAAATAACGCTGATAAATAGAATTTCACACTACAACAAGTGTGTCATTTAGAATCTTACCAAATAATCGAATCCGGCACTAAGCAAGATGTTCTCAGCAGTGGGATGCCATTCGATGTAAGCAACGCGGCGCTTGTGTCCGTGTAGCTCCACCAACCAATCGGTTAGGTGCATAGACAACCCTCCGTCTGGTATGTGCCATAATTTTACCTGAAACAGTTTATTATATTTATAATATAGTTTCCAAATTAATTTTTATTTCATAGAGATCTAACACTGTGTAACAGATTGAATGGAAAATACTTGTAATAAAATTAAATAGATTTATCTTTATCTGTATGTTATATATTATTTATTTATTTATTCATTAGTACAAATATGTATACATGGCATTCTCTCCCAGTCAACCATAGAGAAGTGTCAGAATATTCGAATGTGGTACTATTATTATTATTATTATTGGAGTATATTATAAGAAAATAATACCAGTAGTTTAGGAAATAGGCACAAGATGGTGGTAAAGTGCTGCAAGAAAAATAAGATTAACAAGGGTTTAGAATTAGCGACATAATCGCATATTCCTTCCTTTTGAAAGTCGTCTCAAAAGGCAATCAAGCGTAGAAATGAATATGGGTGATCTCAGCAAGCGAGGTTATTGTATAATTTCGATGAACTATTTTGGTTTCGAGTCTTCAGAAAACTTGATGTTTCTAGAAAGTATTTTATGAAATGATCGTCGCCGGGATATGTTCCTCCATCCCATATATAATATACATACAGAATACCGACCTTATTCCGTCTAGCTAATAATAACAATGGAAAGTGTACAATTACAGGTAATTGATATAATAAAAAACCAATTGACGGTTTATTGATCGAGAAACACGGCTACCATATACCAAGGTCATGACAATAGTGATGTATAAATAAATTAAACGACTACTTATTAGTAAAAAACTAGTGGTATATTAATATTATAGGTATTTAATAGTCATGAAAAAATCAGGAACTTTATGGATATTCAGGTAGGTATACTAAATGTTTTCTCAGAATTAGAGATATGAAGTTAAACATGTTTAAGAATAAAATCCCCGATGGGCTAGTCAAAGACATTCGTCAACTGTTCCTGTTGTGATGAACGCAATATTCGATTTTATCCTGCATTTTTAAATTGAAGAGAACAGGGCGAGGGATGAGCTTACCATCTTTCGGATTAATCACGTTCATTCGATTAACTTGATTATTGAATATTCAATATAGATATTAATTACTAAAATTATTATATTGCGCAAATATATGAATATTATATTCGTAGTAAATTATTAAACGGATATCCTCTTATTTATACACTTTCATGACTATAATGAAAACCGGTAAATTGGTCGAACGGAACATGCTCACGTAATGCGTAGTTTGCCACGAGTAAATTGCAGGCATTACAAAAAATGTAAACGAATGGAAAATAATAAAGAAATGTTACACGAATAAAATTACCGTGCAGTCGTCAGAACACGACGCTATAATGTTGTCGTTGAACGGATTCCACTTGATGTCGAGCACGGGACCTTTGTGTCCAGTCACACGACTCGCGTTGAAATCCAATCGGCCGGTCTGAAACATAATACATAAATTGATCAATAGTTAATTCAGTCTTACATATAAATAGGAGTGTACGAGGGCAATTGAGTGCTGAAAACTGGAATATCGTAAAGACATCAGGTGATGTTAAAGGTTTTTATCACAACGCAAGGGTTTTAATGGGTGAAAATGGAATGGTAACCCTCTGTGATATTGGTATATGCTTGTGAGACACCAGTGAGAGATTGGTGAGGATGAAAGCAGGTCAGTCCATCGTGACGCATTCCATAAGAATTAAAGACGATGGTTTCGGAGGAACAGCGTGGAGTCGACCTAATAGCTAATGAGTCTATTGGATCTTATTACTAGCATTCCTCCTCTTCTACAACGCAAGGGTGGCCACACGAGAATCTTTCTTTTTGTTTAGTTTTAGACTTCCAATTTATATGACTGCCATATCTTGGAGTTCAAAACAGTCATTTGTTTTCTTTTTTATGCAGATATTTTTTTTTCAGATTATATCGACTAGCGTTTCAAGTACTAATATCTTATTTTTATGCAATTTAGAAAAGCAAACAAGCTTAAGGTCTAACTCATTGACTGATTGTTTCTAATTAATCCTAAAACTTCTTTCGAACGCCTACAATTCGGAACAAGTTTATACTTTACTCTCCCGAATATTGCAAGTCGAGTCAATATTAACTACGAATACTAGAAACAAAACTTAACAATAATTACATAATAGCTATATCCCGCTACTTCGCCTGAGCGAGTCAGTACGGTTGGGATATAACCTACCTGTGTACCAAATATCATTGAAATCCATTAAGTAGTTTTGCGTGAAAGAGTGACGAAAGTCCATCCATCTATTCATCCTTTTGCATTTATAATATTAACTGGATAAATTTAATGCATACGCGCTCAACAATATAACAACAACGCTATACTACACTCTAGAGTAGAAGTTAGCTAAGAAGCCATAATTAGGAACTTTCCAAGATCTCAAACTAGTTTATCTGAACGTTTAAAATTATCATATGCAAGTGTTCAGACTGCCGGACTCGAATTTAATCGCTCGTAACACACACCTCCTGAGTTATTAGGTACTAATTATATGCTATCTGTTTTATCGTGATAAATAAGATAGTTGTTTGTTCCATTTCTTTTTATTACACTGTAGTTATCACCGTCGACCAACTTTACAATGTTTGAAGATAAAGATGATGTTTTGTGTGCATTTATTATAATGATATTTAAAGTGAAGTGTAAGTAAAAATTGTCTTTAAGTATATAAAATAACTTACTATTATATTATAAAGTTAGCAATTTGTATTTTTTAAAGTGTCTCTGTATGAGTCCTCTTTTGTTAACAATTATCTGCCTATTATAGCTGTGATTTTGTCCGCTTGATTAGGATAAAATATACTAATCCTTTATTAGAATACTATGCATTAAGTATATATTATAATATATTACTACTTTTTGATAACTTCTTTTATAAACGTACTCTATTTTCAGTGTCTTTTTTCTCTGGAGTATGACATGTATATACAAGTAAAGACATATTCATTGAATAAGATACTGTTAACAAACAGTGAATTATATAAAAAAAGAACCATCAATTATACATTTTTAAAAATTAGAAGTACGCTAATTGACTCTCCCATTATTTCATAATCAACATCAGATAACAGAGATACTGTAGTAAGCGTCTGTTACTTTTCAAACCGATTCAAATTATAACAATATGATGTTACGAATTAATCTCTCACAATATTCCCAGTTACAAAGATATTGTCGATTCTCGTGTCGGTATCGCATTAATTAGAGTCAGAGATTATGTGCGAATATTATAAGCAATATTAGTTGTTACATTGTTATAATACGATAGAGGATTTTATTACTGAATGTCGTACGTGTCAAGGTTAAAACCATAAATTAGTTCTTAAGAGATGTCTGGAGTCTAGACAATTATAAAGTCGTTTTGCCTATGTGTTACTAGCGGTATTAAGTTTATAACGTTAATTACACGTCAATAATATGAACAATTTTTTAATCCCATTTTTAGGGGTTCGTTAGCATTTTCCATTAGGTGATCCATCAGATTATTTCATAATTTCAATAGTATAAGAATTATGAAACTGTGTTAAATGTGAAAATTTTAATTTAATAATTGTTAATATAATAAAATATGCTCAGGTGGTATAGTTGATTATGGTGAACGTACCACCTGCATTTTTAGTGCACATTTTGAATTCAGCGCAAGAATGGGCGGGCTTGCCGCAGTCTCTCTCGATTGTTAATAACTAGCAATATTACCTACTTGCACTAAATGTCGATAAGATGCGCTTACAAAGCCATGCTCTACTAATGCCACATATAGCGTAGAACAAATTAGTGACGAAAGATTGTCAGAGAACGCACTACTTTGTAATTACCTGTTACTTTTATCAGTAATGTGTGACTTTTAAAATCGACATACTGACTCTAATATTTATTCATTATTCTACTTTAATGTTACAATAATGTAACAATGACCTCTGTTGCAGTGATAGACACGTCGCTTTGAGTAAATAACGACCCAGTTTCGATTCCCGGTCAGACCAATTTCGTATATATATATATATATATATATATATATATATATATATATATATATATATATATATATATATATATATATATATTCAAATACCATCATGATAAGTCTGGCTAGTAATAATAGCAATTAAAAAAATGCCGAAAAATAGACTGTCTATCTATTCATATGTAACTAAAAATAAAACGCAGTCATTCATTCGCCTTTGCTTAAAATATATAAACACAAATGATGCGTTGATTCAAATCAGGAAATTAGCTCATAACCAAATGTGCATGTGAACAATTTTCAACCGACTCAACAAGGAGATTTTTTAATCGGTTAGTTGTATTTTTGTTACCTAATAACTCCGTCAGTTTTAAACAGATTTGGATACAGATTGGTTCCATTGAAATTTTATCAAAATTGGATCTGTAATTTTAGTCTTTAAATAAAAACAACTAGTTTTGCTATAATTGAAGTTTTTTTTTGTGGATTACAATCTTTAATTATAAATAAGGAAAACTATTTCAAGACTGCTTCTTACTATGTTTGCTACTAATACTCGTACCTAATTATACTAAGTAGGCGGTTTAATCATGGTTTAAAAATAAGTAGCAAAGCCGAGATGGAATCATAAATTAGTATCTGAAATATATGTATCTAAGGAAAGATATATTTAATAACTAGCTGTTACCCGCAGTTTTGTCCGCATGAACCCTTATTAATATTATAAATGTCAAAGTGAGTTTGTTTGTTTTTTTCATACCTCTTAGTGCCTTAACCAATTTTACGAAATTTGGTATATGTGTACTAAATGGGACGACGAAGGACATAGGCTATATTTTATACCGGGATAAAAAGTAGCTTAGTATATAATGTACCCTGTATGTTACGTTAGGATATAATCTACCCGTGTAACAAATTTAATTCAAATTCGATTAACAATTCAAACATGATTGAGTAACATACATATAAACATGTAATAATTTTCAACTTTCACATTCGTAATATTCTTCATTATCATCATCATATCTTTTAACAAAGGCTTCCTCCATAGACCGTCATAAAGAATAGCGCCGTTCCTTTTGACAATTTACCATTAAGATAATTTTGCAAGTAGTTGACCACGCTTGGCAGGCGGGTTGACAACCGTAGTTAAGCTTTGCTGATATTTTAAGAAACCGCTGCTGCAGATGGATTTCTTCAGTTGCCTCTTACGACACTCACGGAAAAGGAAAAGGGGGCCCATTTTATGCCGGGACCATATGGCAACATTCTGTGTATCTATATATCTATTTTGACACGAGAAACAAAATAATGCCGGGACAATATGGCATTTACAATATTAGTAGGATAATATGGTACTTACATGGTCTAAAGGTAGCACGAGGAAGGCCCCACCACCAGCGACTTCAGTCACGATGGCCACGAACTTGGGGTTTACAGCACAGAAGTTGGAATCGTGCGCGTTCCTCGTTATCTTTATGTTGTCATAACAACGTTCTCTTTTGAAGGATACACCGTACACATGGCGGAATTTGGAACTCCTCACGCCACGGAACCATACCTGAAATTTGTAATTATAGATAATCACAAAAATAAAGTATCACTTATCTACATGTAGAATAGACATTTACATCAAAAGTCGGCTAATTACAGTAACTTTAGAATTTCTAGGTCTAAACTATAATGGAAAGAGTTACTATTTGAAAGTCAATAATAGTATTTATGAAACTGAACAATTCTTTTTCCATATTAGAAAGTAATTAAAAAGAAAACAGGTTTTCGTACGAACTGTTCGAAAATTTATCAAGCTTCGAGTTATAATTACCTGTTGAAGATGTTATTTGGTTGAATATAACTGGCTTTAGCTTTGTGCCCTTTTCATATTTTTTTTTCTATATTTAAATAAAAAATAATTGATTGGTAAGCGTATCACTTGGGAGTAGATGGAAAGATGTATTTTATGAAAAAAAGAATAATAGAAAAAAAAAACTAACAACGTTTGATGTTATATAACATTTATATGAAACTAATTGACCCATACATAATAAATACATAAGATTCTTATTGTGTGATTTATATATTGACTGACTTGTCTTTGATTAATATTTAGTTGTTCAATATTCAATATAAATACATGCTTTGACAGTAGCATTAATAATAAGAAGCGTAGGTAGCATTAATTAAAATTAATAATTATAAAAAAAAACTGCAACACACATTATGTACGAGTATTATATATGTCATGCTAGAACGTAGATCGGTTTGTTGTCTGTTGCAATTAGGGTTGCCAACCCTCCCGGATTGTCCGAGAGACTCCGGTAATAATGGTTTACCTCCCGACCTCCCGGAGTGTAATAATTTTTCCGGTTTTTCTAAAAATATTGACTCAGTGATAAATTGGACTTTTGCGTGAGATGCAACCACATTTCGTTGAAGAAAATCGAGTGGATTTACATTGGGTTGACTTCTTTACGAAATCGAAGGACAGAAATCCCTGTCCTGAATTGAAAAAAATGGTCACGTTTGTTCTTTCCATTCCTGTCTCTAATGCTTCATGCGAGCTTGTATTCAGCATGATGGAGCTAGTATGGAGCACGGAAAGGAACCCAATGAGTATTTCTTTAGTAAAAGCAGAGTTAGAAGTACTAACAAACTTCGATTTTTCATGTAAAAACTTTTGTGGTGAAAAACTGACAAATATTGGATATTGCTCAAAAATAAAAAAAATATAAATTTAAATTTAATACCCCCACGATAAAATTCTCCCGGGTTGGTCTTTTCGTGAGTTGGCGACACTAGTTGGAATACTATAAGATTTTCTACACAATACAAAATGCCTTTAATCTAACCACCTCCCCCACCTGAGACTATAATTATGAGCATATTTACATTTACTGGACAGGTGAATGGAATCAGTAGCTAGTAAATGCAAAACAATACGTAAACATTTAAGGTTTGTAATGAAGCAAAATGATGATGCATATTTATGTTTTCACACTGCTTTAACTTAATGCACTATTGTTCATCGGTTTCGCTAGCGATGCTTTAATGATTTTAAAGTTTCACTAAATGAAAGGAAAATAGAAATTTGTAACCTGTTTTAACATACGATAACATGATAAAACGTTTCATTTATATTTAAAATATATTACTTTTAAAAATGTATAAAATCATGCTCATGACTTCAAATAATGCTAGATGAGATATTAGTCGACTATTGATGTTGAGATGAACGTACTTGGACTACTTGACATTCGTAAAAATATAGCACAAATCAAGTCGATTGTACATACATACGCTCACACACAAATATGAACATAATAATAAGTAAAAATCGATTATAGTAAATACAAATTTTATAAAAAACCAGTCAAGTGCGGGTTGAACTCGCGTGCTGAGGGATCCGTACAAACTATATCTTTTTTTGTGATGTAACTGAAAATGTATGGTTTTTCGATTTTTCTCTTTACATGTACTGTACGATTTGGCAATAGCTTCTTGCCAAACTTCATGATTCTAGATCATCGAAAAATATTCTCAAGGATTTTATTCCCTTGCAAATGTCAAAATATATTTTGATTATTTCATAGATTCAAGAAATTGTAGACTTGAGAATTTGATGTTAATTTTAGCTTAATAATTACGCGTTATTGAGAAAAGAGGTATTGACAGACGGACAGAGAGGCAGAAAAGTATTCTTTTAAGGGTTCTGATTTTTCATTTGCGGTACGGAACTCTAAAGATTACAATAATATTGGAAATAACGGGTAAATAATAAACCTACATGTACAAATAGTGGAAGGAAATAATTATAAATATTCATTATCTTAACTTGTAAAAATAAATTTCGTATCATAAGGATGAGATGTATGGGGAATTGACGTCATGTGCTAGATATTACATCTTTGATTATAACAATATACTCAAGATTGCGATCTAGATTATTTTTATCTATCTAAAATAGACGTTTCCGTACTACTTAGGTAATTTTACACTTTCATTAAATATTTGTATAAGAACATACATATATTTTTATTAACCTCATTTTTGTAGACTGCACATAGAATAAGAATAACGTAGCATACTTTCTTAGAATAATAACTTATCGAGTATATTAAAAGCATGGTTACAAAGAGATGTTTTGATATATGGCAAAACTATCTAAAGATTCTGACTTTCTACATAACATTTCTAGAGCCTCAAGTGTTTATCGGATAAAAAAGTTATTTTCCTTTGTACTCTGAGTCTCATAATGAAAATAAAATTAGACTAAAGATTCATGTCTTATATATAAATTCAAGATATAGTTCATTGGTGCGCGATTTACGAACGATACGTTTGCTAACGCAATATGCAGATTCGTGCAAGTGTTACAAAAATAATGTACAATTCACCTGGTATACGATTGATTTTCAATTTATTTTTACGAAACATCAGATACAGTAAGATTATTGAGAGCATAACATATTTGTGTCTATAAAGTCCTTAGTAAAATGAACATGGGATACTCAATTAAAATACACAAGATTTTGTACTGCTACGATCCAAATAACTATTCATATAATTCCTTCTTATTAATAAATTTGCTTACGATTGTAATCCCCGATGGGGTCAAAGGCATTTGTCTACTATTCCTATTGTAGTGAACTTAAATCACGACATGCCTATTTTATGTTCTCTCGGTAAACATATTTGAATAAAGTTTAAATTCTGACAAATAAATTTTACTAATATCATAAATGCGATAGTTCGTAAAGATGTTTGTCACTCAATCAATCTCAAACGATTGAAGATATTTAAATAGAATTTGGCATATAGACCTGGGATTAACGCAAAGGCAATATTTACGATTTAGAATCTGCGGAATACAGTTAATAAATTTATTATATTCATTAATCATAGTAAAAGCTAGTTTTATAAGTTCATATTTTAATTAAATGACCTACGAGTAATGTAACTTTATGGTCTGATAAAAACTAATGTTGCACTTCACAGTAGGATGACGGACATAACAGACAATTACCATCTTTACGTAATGACTATAAATTATCTTGCATACTCGTACTACTTTAAAAAGAATAAAAATTAACGCTGCCAGATATTCAATTGTGGAATTTAGAACACGACCATTTTTTGTTTAGTTTCATACATATATGGGATTGTTGATTTAGCCTGATATAACAATGTATGTTAGAAAATTATTAAATTTAATTAATTACCTATCGTAAAAGGGCGAAAGAATTTAAGGGGCTCTATCGAAAAATTCGAACGTTCTGATACGTGTCATTTTTGTAATTTTAAATGTTTCTCGATTATTATCAATATTAAATTGTCACAATTTTTATATTATGTATAAATTTTGACGATTTGTTTAGCTGTTAAAAAGCCCATTAGTAACAAATAAATAACGAACTGTTATGTAATAGTTACATTTATAATATCAGTAAAGTTAGGAGTTATAAAATAACGACAAGATATTGCATACTTAGTATTTTTTTAGAAAAGCTTCTTGTGATAAGATAGTGTGTATAAAATAATAATGTTTTGAATGATTTACTCATGCATAGCTTTGTATAACTATTTTAAGCTTAAACTGCTAAAAAGATTCTGTTTAAAACCGCTTTGGTTGTTATGGCAACTAAATTTCGCAAAAAGTTGATATAGTTGTCAACTTCTTGCGTATAAAAGAAGTATCTATAGTTACTCTCATATTAAAAACAAAGCTAAAACTAAATAGGTACGCTAAAATAGAAAGTGCAAGTAAAAATATATGAAATTTAAACAATACCTGTGAATTAGTCATGTCGCCGCCAGTCTACTCCGGTGCAGAATCAACGCATGCACTACTTTATAGACGAGCTCCCAAACTATACAGTTCTGTGCATTTTACAAATAGCCGTGTACACAAATAACATAAAAATCAGCAGCCCACAACATTGCAGCACTGTAACTTAACACTGAAATTTGCAAATAAATAATAAGGATGCATTAAACATAACATAAAAATGAACATCTATGTGCAAAAAGTATATAAAACATAATTAGACACTGCGGACACTGTACTCGTGCTAATGCTTAGTCGGTTTGAAATACTTAGTAATTACGCGTGTGATCATAACAGAGCGGCAGAGGCGCGTGTCTTGAGACGCGAATGAAAAAAAGTGAAAAGATACTTGTTACCGAGTCGTTGCCGCCGAGTCATTGATGATGAGAGAAATTTAAATCCAACGTTCATTCTCATGTCGATATAACATCAATAAAATGCCACTAAGAATAGAATTTGATTATTATGTAAGACAGCATTAATAACAAAGTAATAAATAATCATGAGTATTTTTTTTTATAATATTAACGAGTTCGATGACCTAAACTACAGGCATAAATAACACCATGGACGGTACAGAATTTACAGTGGCGTCCATTGTACCCCTCATGGTTATGACTACTGAATAGAAAGATTATCGGGTACTGAAACAACAACGCACTGATTACTGAATTAACGGCATAAAATAAATGAAGACAATGGTATGTGGCTTAGTTTACTGCCAGTTATGAAGTGTGACAATAATTCACTGCTAACTTGGTTTTAGTCTGTAGTAAATAAGACTCAATTAAGATTTTGAGCGCGAACATACTAGATAAATAATTTAGGTATGAAGTAGGTAACATTAATTATAAAGCAAATGACAATACTAATCTAAAACATATTAACCTAAATACAATTTGACCTTTAAACTACACTATTAAAAGCATATACTTATGGTTTGTACTAAAACAAATAGGTTTAAATTTGCAATATTGTAACACTTTCCCTCTTCCACGTTCGAGATAGTATTACATGATGGTCAGCAAAGCGTTACAAAAAAAACTGTAGATGAATTCACTACCGCCTACAACTTCGGACAGTAAGTACCAACATATGAACAACTAGCACTTATGTCACGCTCCGTAGATTCGAATAAAATACAAACAATTACCTATTATGAAGCAAATTACACAATTGAATGTAAGAAAATAAATAATTATAAATATTTGACCATGATTTTAAGTGCTGACGTGATTTTTTATGCAACTCAAAATGGCAAACAAGCTCATCTGATGGAGAGTGGTAACCGTCACGTACAGCTCAAGGTTAGGAATAAGGTGTTATGTCCTTGTATTTGTATCTTGTAATTGACTGTCATTAGCCATTCTTAAAACCAAAAGATAGCCATGCAAGGATAGTTACTTAGCGGTAGAAACACGGATGGATGGATGTACCTGTTTCAAAATTATTTTACAGGGGGACCTGACCTCTTAAGAAGGCACATATATCAGACATGTCTGCGAAACTTTGCTCGCATCTTGGGGTGGGCATCAGATGATTATGGGGTGGGCACAGCCCATTTGGCACCTTTTTAAATACGCCTATAGCCACTAATGCAAACGATTTTTGTACAATCTCCCTATGGTAAACACTTTAATAGTTTTGTACAAGACGATATTCACAATAGACATCATAAATTATATAAAAATTCACAACAATTAGCTATTAAAAATCATAAATTGAAGATCAACCTATCAGGTTTTTAATAGCATAAAAAGGTGAAAGCCATGGAAGAAATGTAAATTAAATTGCTGACTAGTAATAAACAAAATTTTGTGTCATAATAAATAATAGCTGTCTCAGGTTAAACTTGAAGAATGGGCTGGAGTTTCTCTTTTATTTTAAGCTTATTTGAATAGAGTTCTTACTACTGTGTAGAGCTATAATAATATTAATCTAAGTATATTTTCTCTTGATATGAAAATGATATTTTCATATATTAAACATAAAATAAATTACCATAATAAATAAATGTTTTAAAACCACATTATGAAAATAAACACCACCTAATATATATGTCTTGAAAGATCAAAAAGCAAAAAAAAAAATCAAATTTCTTAGCAGTTTGAATTAGAAATGTACTTTAATTTACTAGTCCCGGGAATATTGCCAGCCTTAGGAGGGAGAAGAACGGATCCTTGAAGCCGTTTAAATAGAGAGCCAAGGTGTAAATGGGGCATCATAGGATGATTAAAGGATACTTTGAAGTAAACAGTGGATCTTCCCAGACCTTTTTTTCATCGTCAGAGGTGGCGTCGTAAATTTGTCCAGGGCATTAAGGTCAAACTTCTAAATCAATACTTAAATAACCTATGTTACATATATACAAGCTACATAATATTGTAGGTATTTTTATACCTATTGAATAAAGTATCAAACGTAAGATAACTGAGACATTTTTTAGTGATAAGTTTTCTAGTGATACTACAGTATCAAAGAAAAAATCAATCAGCTATGTTTGATAAATGCATTCATATAATATTAAATGAATCAGAATTAGTTATATCTGTAGATAATTATGATAATTGTGCAGGTTCCAAATACATTTCTATTAAACATTTATTTAAATGATTAGACTATTAATAGCAAGTTGTTATAAAAATAAAATATTAAAATAATTTTAAAATCATATTACAATGATTATTGAACAAAAGCCGGGCCATTGTTCTGACCAAAATGAATTCTTGCCATGAAAATGCCATTCCTGGCATTGATGTGGGTTCAAATTTTGTTTATAATAATAATATTTTTAAGCTTTCATTAAACACATTTTTTATTAAAAATCTTATAAATAGCCACTACACTTACCCACCCAATGAACATTCAGCCCACTCTAAATAAAATATGTGCTATTCTCTTCCTGTGATTCCATTATTATGATTTAGAAGATTGCTACTTTTCCTGTGCTCTACAAAAATTATATATACAAGAGCATGCTCTCGGTACATTGACTATGACTGTTTGTTTCTTAAAAATTCTTTTCATTACATAGATAAGAATTTGACACATAAAAGAAAAACACAGTAGGCACATAGGCAGATAGACTTCTCTCAAATAGAGACATCTTCTAATCAACTTTGTGAGCATTTGAAAGAAGTTCAGACTAGGGGGTATATATATACATATAATTTATACATGAACAAAGAAAAAGGTGAGAAAAAGTAACAAAAAATAATAATGTCTGTATTATCTGTCAAAATTAAAAAAATAATATAAAATCTTCAATAACTATTTAAAAAGCTTGATAAAAGATTCCTATCACTATTTATTCCAAAATGATGCCAAACTAAATTATTACCACACCAAACAATTGTTAGTTTTATATAATGTGTAGCGACACACTTCTAGTTTTAATAAATAGAAAATTGATTATTTAGTTTTTATTTGAAAACTGACAAGTAATGCAGACATTGCTAGTTTTATTAAAGCACACTCAAAAGACTCAAGCCTACATTGTGACCAATATTTTATAGTTCTACTTAACATTTTACAAGACAAAATTTAATTCTGTTACATTCATAAAAAAAAAGTGAGAACCAAGACATTACAAGGTCTTTAGGGAGTGATGAACACACATGTGGTTTATTTGGTCCAAATTCACAGATAAATGATGGAGACTTACCATCCGAGTGGTCTGATTATTTGGAATGCTCTTTATAAAAAGGAAAATAATTATAAATCATTAATGTATAATATTAGTAATTAAGATTTCTTTCCACAAATAAAAATGCTTCATAAACTAAACAAAATTTATACTATTATTTATACTATTTGTATTGTATGGGACTAAATGTGTTTGATTAAAAAAATATTAAAATAATATACCTATAAAAACTGTCTAATTAGTTACCTCTAAAAAAATTTTGATATTTTCTAATTTTGATTTTAGTTATAAGAATAAAGTCGTGTACATTATTATTCTATAGAATAAAATTAGGAATGAAAACAATATACTATGAATTTAATAAATAATCACATTTGCATTAAATAAGACACAATTCTATTATTTGCATTCAATGTTACATCTGCTTATACTTAAATGGAAATCTTGCTAGAATAAAAACTAAACATGCAATTTGAAATGAAAAAAAAAATTATTAAAGAAGTAATTTAGAAATATGTGGGATAATATTTAATTTTTTTATGTGATTGTATAAGATTATAATGTATCATTTTTTAATTCTAGGATGTTGTAAGAGATAACTAGAGGAACAAAGCACAAAACACCTGTACTAAAGAAGATAACTCGAAATAAAACCCTGCAAAGACCGCCTAGCCAGCTTGAAAGAGATCCGTAATCAACAGCGGCATGTTAATGAGTTAATAATGACGAACACGTAAATAATTTACTGCTACAACTATTACCTACATCTGAATTGAAAGAATAACTGTATCCACTGGCGAAACAAACGCGTTTAGTTACCACTATTGCACAGTCAAGTTACATGTGCAAATAAAAAAAGTAAATAAGTATGTTTATTCTTGATTATTATACACTATTATTTTAAAAGTTTGATAAAATGTTTACCTTAGCGGCAGGTTTATTACAAGCTCTAACGTCCACCAGGGCGCTGTTTTTTGCTGGACTCTTTTCCGAAATGTTGATGATATCTAAACAATTAGCTTCTCTTATCGTCTCATCTTTTACTGGAGGCATATCCCTGACACAAATTAAAGTTTAAGTTCTCACGATAGCTTTGTAGTATTAATTTAACAATAAGGCAAACAACACGGGATATTCCCATAAAGTAAAAATCGAAATGAATTGATGAATGATTGAACGAATGAGGTATAAAATTGAAGTGGAAGTGAGTGAGTTGGACAAAGATGCAAATTATGACCGAATGATTGAAATTGATCCCCTTCGCATGTTGAATGAATCCAAACCAAGTATTCTGTATCCAAGAAAAGAAATTGTTGACGCTACATAGGGTGACACGATGGGTTTTAGTCAGTCGGTATTAGGGATTATTCTGTTTCAATTATAGCAAACACCGTGTTTATTTCGCTAATAATTTTTATAATCAAAAATTGGTATCACGTATAATGTCATTTGTTTTGTTTAGATTTTTTTTTCAAATTACTAGATGGGTTAAAGTATTTTTTTAAACTTGAATAAACAGAATCATTTGCAGTCTGCAGCAAATGATAAAACAAAAATTTTGTGAAAAATTTAATTCAAGTAATTTTAGTTCCTAAATTGTTCTACAGAGGCAGCACTGCCGCTCACACAGACATAATAAGACGCTTATGTAGGAGTCAACTTAGTACGGACCATCATACAATTTTTTCTTAAATATAGGTATATAAAGTAAGTTGCCGTATGGTCCCGGCATAGAATAGGCTACCCTATCCTTTCCCGTGGGTGTCGTAAGAGGCGACTAAGGGAACTTGATGGTCGAGGGATGGGCAACAGCGTCTCTCTTAAAACATCTTCTAGGCCTAACTGCGGTTGCCAACTCGCCTGCCAAGCGTGGCAACTACTGGCAAAACTTTCCTTAGGAGGAAGGCTTATTTTCAGCAGTGGACAGTAAACGGCTGAAATGATAATGATAGTAAGTTTGCCGGGTAATTTGTTGAGGTGGAGTCAGGTAATAAAGGCACTGGTGATGATAATTTTGGAATGTTGTTATCTTCCGAAACAGTGGAATAGCCTTCAAGAAGGCTTCCGGCTTTCCCGGTTTATGCTGAGTTTAATTTCTTTGATATTTATGGTTAATGGTCTTGTGTCTTTTTCTAAGAACTTTATATGTTCATGTATATGGTGGTTGCATAGCATACCGCACTGGGTCGTCTCATAACATTACGTACATACAAATGCCAAGTCTTTAAAAATAACTCGTATCTAACGTGCGTGACGGGTTGCTGAAACAGGTCTTAGTGACCGTATGGAGGAGTACGGACCGCATAAGGAGTTGGATGACGAAGTCTGTGATGTCATCAGCCGATGACTCATAATGATTAGGTGAAATGATGAGCTCGTCAGGCAGATGAAGAACCTCGCTATAAACGAATTCTACGGCTAATGTTTGTAAAACTTCTTAAAGTGCATTCGTACACTCAGACATATGGACACATATGTCTGAGTGTACGAATACACTGTTATGATACATTAAATCCGACTTTAATTGTTGATATAACCGTTTCACCATTCCATTTGCGCAAGGATGGTAACTTGTTGTTCTAATACGAGTACGTTAAGTGCGATATGGGTTCAATAAATTTTGAAAAAGGCTCGACTCGAATTAGTATCTTTGGTCTGTTATGATGACTCTTCAGCTTGCGGGGGAAGGGATTGTTAGTAATGCGGGCTACCAGTCCCATTACTAGTAATATACCCTGTCAGGTCGACCTCCACGCGGTTCCCCTGGGAAACCATCATGCTGAATTCCAAATATATTCGTCACGATAGGCTAACTGACCTGCCTTTTCATTATCCACCTATCATCCCTCCCTGGTGCCCCGCCAGCGTATATCGTTAGCGTAGGCGGGGTTACCACTCCATTATCATCCATTAAAAAAAAAAAAAGACTCTTCAGCTTGTTTGCCATTATAAGTTGCATAAAAAAATAATAGTTGGTATGCTGAATTGAGGTATCCAACACGAAACGATTTTTTTTATTATTTCTTCTGACGTTGTAAGACAGTAGCAAAATTCATTTGATTGAGGAATTGGACTTAATTAGTCCAATTCTTATTAATGTTGGAAGCAGTGTAAGAGGTTTGAAGTCTCTTAAGTTCTCTGATGTCATGTGCCTCGTGATTTTGCCTTGCTGACAAGTAAGTGCGTTCGAGCCCAGAACTTGCAGTCTTTATTTAATTGCGATCATAAAATATGTAACTATTTATTACAAGGCGAGTTGTAGCACGTCAAGTTTTGTGGCTAAGGTTATGCAATTTGTTAAAAACGGTTATACAAAATTTAGGCGTAAAATTGAACAACATAATTATTTTATTGCGACATTTCAATGGGTAAATATCATTATTTGTCTATTGAAGTATCGCAAATAAATACCGTGGTACCGGAAATTCTTATAGGCTTAAATTTTATCACAGTTTTAGATCTTAACTCTTGTAGTTTCTTCTCCAGAGACTACGATTTAGCAAGGCCTTCATAGTTGTTTTCAAGGGATATTGCAACCATATTTTACGGGATAAAGTATCTGCTACGACATTTTAGTTTGCTTATTTATATTTTTTTTCAATAAAATGCTATTATCAGTATCAAATCAACAATCATCATATTAACCGTCGGACGGCTGACTGCTAAATATAGGTTTTGCTAGTAATTGCCACGATTGGCTGGTGGATTGGCAATCGCTATTACATTTTGGTGATGTTTTAAAAGGGACGCTGCTGCTCATCCCTTGACTAAATAAAATGCTATATTAGCTTCCAATCCTCGTTATTGTGGATTTTTGGTGACAAGCATGCTTCTATGTGTTTGCTAGAACCGTCTTTAAAATCACCTAACTTGGCGGTTAGCACGAAATGTATCAAGGTAACAGATGAAAGAATCTGTTTATACTCTTCAGATCCAGAGAATCCAGAGAAAGGGTTTAGTACTTTTATGTTTGAAGCAGCGACTGTATTGATTGGAGCAGTTTGATATTTTGAGGCATTAGGTAAAAATCGGCGATAAAAGTTTATCATGCCGAGGAAATAGCGCACACCTTGTATAGTCTTGAGAGAGGGTAATTCTAAAAATGCTTAAATTCTGTCTTCCAGTTCTGTTTTGTCTCCAGTATTAATGCGATATTCAAGGAATTCATTCGCTTCGAATACGCATTTGGATGGATTGATAATAACTGCATAGCCTTGTAATAATTGACTTTCAGTTCGTTTCCATGTGATGATTTTATTTGGTAATTAATAGGACAATTAAATAGAATATAATGTTCGTTTTATTGTGTATTTTAAGATAAAAGTGAAATAAAGGAATGGAAAGTGTAAAATGTATCGTTAAGTAGTTACCTACTAGTTAAGTAGTTAGCTATTAGTAATTAGGTAGTTGGTTTGGTTCATGTAGGTATAGTAGTATTTTTAAACAGCATAATTTTTATGACGGGAAGGAGTTCCCTATTACCGCTAAATTATTACATCAGTAAGAGAAACTAAACCAGTTCGTATCAAGAGGTTGATAGGCGATAACTTGCTATCGAAAACATTCGTCGCTGACGTAGGTAACTGGCTATGTTCATGCACAAAACAAATATGTAGTATCGTCCATCCTGTAGCGTGGATCGCTCGTGTTTGATTATTTTATATAGTTTTTCATTCTTATCAATCATGCCTAAAGTATACAATTTTGGCGCCGGGCCGGCAAAGATGCCTGAAGAAGTAAGTTATTTTATTCTATATCTGATTTTGTATTAAAGCATAAGTAACAATCATAAAAATAAAAAACAATGAACGAGATCGTGTTAAAATGTTGACCTGAATTAACAATAAACTGCATTGTAAATTGTCTATTGTAGGTGTACGAGATCATACGGAATGAATTCACAAATTTTGAAGGGTCTGGAATAAGTCTTTTAGAGACGAGTCACCGTTCCAGTACTTATTTAAAGTTAAATAAAGAAGTTCAAGATGTTGTAAGAAGATTATTGTAAGTGAATTTCATAATTATAATTATTTTAAAACGTGGGAGAATCTGTCGGTGTATTGTATTTCGACGACTAAACTGTACAATTTTATTTGCATGATATTTTAGTACATTTGGTGTGTCTAAACTCCTATATTAGTTCTTCTTTAGTATTATGGATATATCTAAGGATGTTTATAACGTTATAAGGAAACAGTATGGTTATGCGTAGAATCTTAGTGGGTATCTAATGCGAGGAACTTTTATGTATTTTTATATTTAATATGTAGATTATTGTAGATATTATTGTCTTAGATAATATTGTTCTAATTAGTCAGTGAGTAACATTTCCCTACTGTGTAAACATCCAATTTAGTGCAGTTTTTTTGCGTGATATCGAAATAAACATACAAATAGACAGATATAAATAAAAAAAAATTACGTATTGTTTTGCTCTATTGCTCTTTTTCTTTTAATAGTTTTTGCCTGCAATTTCGCAAGCGTAGATTTTGAGGGTTGATAACCACTTCTAGATGGCGTATCAAGATCATACATGTACATATCAGATTTCAAGTTAGCTCTTGAGGAATACAACTGTGGTATTTGTATTAATTTTAGTGTAATAGTTTTCGTGAGACGCCAGGACAAACTTACAGACAAAACAAAAATATTATTTCGCTTCTATTGCTCTTATAAATTTTTCTGAAATATCTTCTATGTATATACGTAGGTTTTTTTTTTTTTTTTGATGGGTGAAAATGGTATGGTAACTCCGCCTGCGCTAACGGGATACGCTGGCGGAGCACCAGTGAAGGGTGATAGGTGAGAATGAAAACAGACCAGTTAGCCCATCATGATGAATTCATTAGGAATTAACCATGATAGTTTCCAGGGGGAACCGCGAGGAGGTCGACCTGGTGGGGTATATTGCTAGCAATAGGATTCTCAGTCGCCATTACTAACAATCCCTTTCCCCCCTATATACGTAGGTTAGTTACAATTTTATTATATTAACAAGATTTGTCGTTTGACTATAGGTTATATCTACCTATTCTTGTTACTATTGTATTCAGAGATAAGCTGCATTATTTTGTAATAACAGTTTCATGCATCTGGGTTATAGGTATAAGTTAGTTATGTAATAATTTATATTTAGAAATAATGTTTTTCATATAAATTTCCATACCAATTTACAGTTTATAACGCCTTTAAGTTTACGTAGTAAAGTTATCTAAGTTTATTTCCGAAGGGATTTCATAAAGCGGGCAAATGGAATTTAGGCTAGGATGAATTTGGTTCGAAAAAAGAAAGAAAAAAAAAATTCGACAAATTTATTCTTCTGTGGTGGAAAACTCCGATAACAAACCTAATTATACCAAAAAATGGTAGTTCGAGCAGTATTCTTTTGTATTCGGCACTTATAAACACGACAAATATGGTAGATTTTTTTGCGTTGAATGTTCATTCATGTATTGTATACAGCATAAAATAGCATACAAGCTGTCGTCCCACTTGCTGTAAAGTGGTATTCGATGCCAGTAGATATGAACACTGTCGTACAGTACAGTGTTTATTTCTTATCAAGAAATGTGGTATTAACACAGGTGTCAGTAACTAAGAATAATCGTATCAGTAATAGTATGTTTTCTCCACACAAATTACGTGTATGTTAAATTTCATAACGTACATTATTTATTATTATTATTTGTACATTACGTTTAAAATTTTTCTTATCATTATGTTTGTGTACAATAAAGAGTATGGAAGCCGTACTGAGGCAACAAACGTAGAATGTGACTGTAACATGTTATGACACTTCTTAATGTTTCTTTTTTTTTATTAATTTTGAATAAATTAACAAGTGTATTTAAGGTTTATAATATAGATATCATATACTAAATAATATATAAAGTCCAAGTTTAAAATTAAGTTTCATAAAAAGTAACGCCTTAAGTCGTGACAAAAGTAACATGTACGTAATCTACAAAAAAGTAAATTTTGTCGATGACGAAAAGAATTATCAAAATCGGATCAGAATTTGTGAAGTTATTATGTGATATGTATATATAATGAATACCTACTTCTTTAATGTTGTTTAAGAAAATTTGATTTATGTACATATTTATGTACATATTTTTAAAATTTATTCGGATTTGATTACGATTTACTTTGCTGTGATGTCGTTATCGTGTTATATGTATTTTTCAATTTATATTTCAGAAATGTACCACAAAATTATAAAATTTTGTTCTTGGCCGGTGGAGGACAAGGACAGTTTGCGGCTGTTCCACTCAACTTGATTTCACGGACAGGAACAGCTGATTATGTCGTCACTGGTGAGGAATCTTCATTATTTATATAGTTAGGTGGGTACATTATGAGAGTATCGAATATAATGTTCTTACCTACCTATAATGTTACAATAGAACTTAATGGAAATGTATTAACATATCATCATCATATTAGCGGTCATCTGTCCGCTGCTGTACCATGTTTAGCAGTGCCTCCTCCATAGAATGTCATAAGGAACGGGCCATTCCTTATGACAATTTATGATTGGGGGTTTAGGTCAATAATTGCCACATTTAGTAATCGCAGTTTGGCTTTTGGTGATGAAGAGGGATGATGTTGTCCGTCCCTTGACCATTAAATTGCCTTAGTCGCCTCTTAGGCCACATACGTTTAAGGAAGAGATGACCAATTTTATGCCGCGATTATACGGTAATAAAAATATAAACAAATTAAAAATTGATGTGATCATAAGACAGTCTGTAGATGTTTAATAAATTATAAATAAAAAATTAATAAACAGATTTAATGTCTCGATTTAATACTAATTTTAATTAGAGATATATCCAACAAAATTTGGTTTTTATTAAGTTTTTTTTATGCAACTTAGAATGGCAGACAAGCTAATGAAAGTGGGAACCGTCGCCTAAAGACATGAGCAGTACCATAGACATAACAGAGTATACTGTTTCGCCCGTGATACCCCCCATGCGTTGCCATTCCTGTGGACTCGGGTGTTATTCCTCTTACCCAGTAAATTCACTGTCATATCCCAACCTTCAAACTGAAATACAGCCATGCAAATATAACTGCTTCACGGTAGAAACACGAATGGGACAGAGATGCCCAAGCAAATGACTTTTGTACAAAGTTTTTCCCGGGTGGTTTTATTAAGTAGAAACAAAGTATATTCATATACTTACCGGCATGTACCTTTTTAAATGGCAAGTAACGTTGTTATAATTTATTTTATACAGGTGCATGGTCAGCTAAAGCTGCTAAAGAAGCAAAAAAATATGGAAAGGTGAACTTAGTTATACCACCGACGGATCGCTATGTCAATATTCCTGACCAATCGCAATGGAATCTGGATCCAAACGCATCATATGTTCATATCTGCACAAACGAAACTATACATGGTAATTAAAATATATCGTAAATTCTCAAAATAAGTCTTTATACAATTGTATTGACTATTGCTAAGTTGTTCACGACCTTTACAGGAGTCGAATATGATTTTATTCCGGATACAAAAGGAGTGCCTCTTGTTGCGGACATGTCTTCAAATTTTATGTCGAAAAAAGTAGATGTTTCTAAGGTAAGTTCATATTTTTTATATTTATTGTAGTTGCTAAATAAAATAAAATTATAATCTACTTTCTGGTAAGTCATAATCTTTACCTATAGTGTAGTACTTATATTTAGTCTTACAGACTCATTATTATTAATTTACCTTATCAGGTTGACTTCCACACAGTTCTACCTGAAAATTATTTTCAACCGACTTCAAAAAGGAGGTCCTCATTTATATTTTTTTATGCTCGTTTCCTCATAACTCCGTTAGTTGTAAACTGAATTGGAAAATTCTCTTTTTTTTCTGAGAGCTTGGTGTCATAGAACATTTATTAAAATATGTTTAGTTGTTTAGATCAAAATGCCTGTCTGTCAGTCATCAAAATTACTGTAGTCAGTTTTTTTTGTGGAGTACTATCTTTAATTATGGTTAATGCTTGTTGAACTTATCAATGGTGGATCGTTTCTGTTATTATTCTTCTCTGATACCCGGTCAGCGTATATCGATAGCGTAGGCAGGTTAACCCTTCCGTTATCAGTCACTAAAAAAATAGGCTGTATTTCTAATGCATTGTCACCCCTAAGTACTTCTTGGTATCAGAAATTAGGCTAGCTGTTTCTACAGTGTAAGTAATAATACTATTTCATCTATTTTATTTATTTATTTTTGATTTACCGGAATAGAGGTGTGACGTGACATCATCACTTATTGTTGCTTTAGATCTGTTGCACTACTCTGAAATTGGCATTTTGATCTTTTGATATTCCTCTACCGATATAGGGGATTAGTCTATCTTATACCTTGAGAATCTTGAGACAGGTTTTGACTTATTGACGTTTTTACATCTACTTCGAATTCAATAAAAGATTTTATTCATAAAATAATTAGGATTTTATTGAACTGATATTAATGTAATGAATTATATATGTAACGATTTTTTTCTAGTTTGGCGTAATATATGGCGGTGCACAGAAAAATATCGGAACATCAGGTGTTGCACTAGTAATAGTTAGAGAAGATCTTCTTAATCAAACCTTACCGATATGCCCATCGATTTTGGATTGGACGATTAATGCAAAAAACGACTCCATACTCAACACACCTCCGATGTTTGCGTAAGTTGTTATCATATCTGTTGTTTAATAATATTTTTGTCAGGTGATACTATATATAATATATACAAATGTCTCAAAATAATCTGTTATTGACAAATTATTTTAAGTTATTATTATATTGAAAGAAAATTGATAATAAAGAATAGGTTAGTAGTAAATAGTAGGTAATAAGGAGTAGGTTTATTCCTTTTAATAAATACTTTTCTAAATTACCTATTTATATATATATAAGTATATATATTTTGCTTACTACTTACATATAAATACATGATATATTAATATTACTAATAATGATAATATTCTAAATTTATATATAGCATTCTCCTCATTTTAATAGAAACAGTTTTTATTTAGCAATTAAGTATTCAATAAATAAATAAATAAAAATTTTTAATGTAAATTTTAATAAATGGACTGGAAAACGTACTTATTACAAGCTTACTATTTATATGTTCTGTAAATTACAGTATCTACATAATGGGCAGAGTTCTCCAGTGGATCGAGAGACAAGGAGGACTAGATGTAATGGCTGAATTAGCTACTAAGAAATCATCGTTGATATATAACATTATAGAGGAATCCAATGGTTTCTACTGCGCTCCAGTGGCTAAGAATGTCAGAAGCAAAATGAATATTCCGTTCAGGATTGGTTCCATTGAAGGAAATGATGCTCTCGAGAAAGAGTTCTTGAAGGGAGCCGAAGCGTTAGGCTTGATACAACTAAAAGGTCACAGGTAAGTTTAATTGTAATTCGTTAATAATTATAATTTAATTGGATTCTTTATAATAGAGATTCTACATTTTATTATTATTTGTTTACTTATTAAAATAACTATATAATTATATCGACTAAATGAGAAAAGACGGAGTTTTTAATTGGGTTAAGTCTGGATATTTTGTTTTTACATATACAATATTGTTAATAAAATTACATTAATTTCTTGAGCCAATTATAGAAGTATATTTTTGTGTACTTCGCTATTATTAAAAATATTAGTAAACATTTTATATTATTTTCTTCTTTCTTTACTTATATGAATTTTAAAATACTCGTTTAAAATAAGACGTTCTGTATTATATTAAAAGTAATAAAAAAGAAATATTAATTTCAATGAATTTAGTGGGCCGCTTTATTTTTACATTTAATTCAGATTCAGTTCTTGGACTTGCAAGTATTGGTATACTTGCAGAATTTTAATAACTTTATTTTTTTCAGAGATGTCGGTGGTATCCGTGCCTCAACTTATAATGCTGTTACTCTTGAAGAAGTACAGGCTTTGGCCAATTATATGAAGGACTTTTATAAAAAACATTCCAAGTAGAATTTTTTTATTTAATTATTCTTTATTATCTATATTTTTTTAATATTACTGTATATCTAAATTACGTAATTGTTAAGTATCATATTGTTATGGCTGTGTCTATTAAAAAAATAAAAACCTATACATCGCAAATTATATATTTTTTAGAATGACATAAATATATACCTACATAAATTTAAATCGAGAAGACTGCATTCAAAATTTAAATTTTAAATGTTTATTGGTAAGTAGCACGTAGTATTTACTATAAAACATGTAGCTTGGTGAAGTAGAATAAAAAAACAGTTATTAAATATTGTTTGTTTGAGATTGTCAGGTATTCTAAGTTCTTGAATTATAATTATTTTATACTTAAATATTCTGTACTGTTTTTGTAAATTAATTACCTAACCGTTGAATTTTGCTGGTTCTTCGCAAGACAGAGTAGTAACTTTGAGAATTATAATTAAAAACTATTTGTAAATACCTGCATAGAGTTATGTAACTTCAGTAGTTTTTTTTAATGGTGAAAATAAAATGATAGCTAATATAGTCTATGCTAGCGGGATACCAGAGAGGGATGATAGGTTAGAATGAACTCAGGTCAGTTTATTAACTACGATGTATATATAGAATTAACTACGATATTTTTAAAACTTATGTTTATTTTTAAATAGAAATTTTATGAACTTACTATATTTATCGTTTTCCACAATTGTTTAGACTTCATCTGAAAGTCTAAGAAGAACTCTTCTTTAGGGGAGCCTTGCGTCTTTCTTTCTTAAATACATACATATGTTACAAACAACGTCTAGTTACATTTTAACTAAATGTAGGTATATAGATATTATTTACACGAATAATCTTATCTTTTGTGTTGGTAGACAGAGCAAATTACCAGATAGAACCAGTTCCGCGTAGTTGCTATCAATTTTATTAAATTGGAATTACATTAACGAATATTAACATTACATTGCTGGACATTATTTACCTCATAAGATGAAGATATTAGCCTACTATTATAACAACGTCAGGTTCATTGATGGGTATAGATTTTAATTTCCAATTTTTACTTAAGTATCTTTCTATAGGGGGGGGGGGGGAAGGATTGTTAGTAATGGAGACTGAGAATCCCATTGCTAGCAATATACCCAACCAGGTCGACCTCCTCGCGGTTCCCCCTGGAAACTATCATGGTCAATTCTTGATGAATTCATCATGATGGGCTAACTGGCCTGTTTTCATTCTCATCTATCACCCTTCACTGGTGCCCCGCCAGCGTATCCCGTTAGCGCAGGCGGGGTTACCATACCATTTTCACCCATAAAAAAAATAGGCTAAGTGCTTAGCTGATACTATCGCAGTAATGATATTGCGGTGTGGTCCCGGTATTAAAAAAGGCCACCACTTCCTTTCCCCTAGGTATTGTAAGAGGCAACTAAAAGAACTTAATGGTCGAGAGATGTAGGTAGGTCCAGTATTCTTCTTTAAACATCACCAAAGACTAACTGCAATTACCAAACCGCCTGCAAAGCATGGCAACTACTGGCAAAGACCCCCATAGGGGAAGGCTTCTATTCAGTAGTTTACAACTGATATAATATGGTATCTGATACTAATTATTTCAGAGATGTATAGCAATTCTTCTGAGGATTTATTCTTTGTTGTCTTCAATTGACGTCAATTTTGTTTTTATGCATTAAGTAAATGTTTTCCGCTACGTAATTAAAGTATGTCATAAATTTATACAGTTGTATAAATACATTCTAATGAAATATACCTACGCATCGTATTGGGAGCGATTGTAGTGTCAAATGTCGGCAGTTATTATCGAATGTTATTATCTACCTATATGAGTTAATTTTAAACCAGTATTACACTGTTATTATAATTATTATTTATTAAATGAAAATCGTACGGTGAAATGAATTCACGTCGATGTTTACGTTTACCCCAATAGTAACAGTCGTTATATAACTTGTGCTACTTGTATTATACTAATGAGCATATTTTTTTTGCGTTCAATAAATAATTAGTTACTTCATTTTTAGCACTATTATTACTGACTGTTAATTTTTAAGTTTCGTGTTCTTTACACATATTTTTAAATACACAATCGGGACTTAACGCGATAGAAAAACTTTTACAGGTAAATAGTACTTACATATCTCGTAGTCACGACGTGGTGCAATCCGCGTCGAAACATCGACAATAAAGAAGCAGGTATGTAGGTACTATTCACCTGTAAAAGCTTTTTCATCGCGTTAATTTTCGATTGTGTATTTAAAAATATTATCACCGATATTTATATCTATAGAAATATTATAAAAAAAGGAAAAGATTTGTTTTTTGTTTGTAATGAATATATATTATTTGTCGAAAGTTCTACCTACTCGTGCGAAGTCGGGCTAGATCGCTAGTATTTTATATAGGTACTGACAGAACTTATGAATGAACTCAATAAATACATACTGATATTATAAAGGTAGAGGATGACAGATTAAAAAATGGTGGTACATAGACTTAGTATAACCACAGATAATATAATGTATAACGTACTACGATTATAATCTAAGTGATAGATCGATCGTAATTACTTTAATTTAAACAGATAATTAGATTATCGTCATCATCATCTTCATCATTGTAGCCTGTGGTGACTCGCTGTTAGAAAAAAATCTCGCTTAATTGCTTACACCTATGGACATTGGTTGAAGTAGTCTTGATTCATGCTTAATGTGAGTAGACGTGTTGGATTCATTTAATTTTCCTTTTCTGTTGTATTTATTGGTTTTTGAGATAAAAAATGAGGGCATTTTAAATTAGCTACTTATGAAAACTTGAATTATTCTACGTTCGTGTATGTTTGAATTTCGAAATATTTTAATATAAAAAAAAAAATCTGTTTTTTGATGGAAATCCAGCTTTAATAAACGAATGTACCTATAATTAGGATCACCCTGAAAATAATCATTATCGTCTAACCTATTGTAAAATTAAGCCAAAGACAAACACGAATATTTTAAGAATTTACGTATAATTAATTCGTTAAAAAAACACAAGGGGTAGATGAAATTAAAAGCCTTTTATTAAAATACGCATAAAATTTATTATTTCATTTTTTTTTGTAAAAAATAGTACTGTTAACATAATCACTAATGTGGTAAAAATTGTGATGGAATACGACCACTCACGAGTATGAGTATTGCTTTATGTTTTAGTGAATATAAAACGTAAGAGTAAATAGTGTCATACATACATTGTCCAAATTAATTCAACTTTATATGTACTTTTGGTCATTTAAATAAATTAATAACTATTAAGTATAGAAGTCTTATTATTTTAATACAAAAGTTTCCATATGATACATTATGAAATTATTCATTTTTCTATCACGATAGTAACATACAGTCATTCAACTCACAATATACATTCATTCAATCATACATGTAAAATTGTAAAGATAAAAAAAAAAAGTTCTGTTTATATTACAAAAACATGAACTCGACATTCAACTATATCGAAATAATCATTTGTCGCAGTATTAATCGGGTAATATACAGATTGAAAATTAAATTATAATACAGTTTAAAACTAAAAATGTACTTACGTTAAACAGAATTAATTATGTAAACAAAAATCTTGATTTCCAATAAATAAATCAAATTAGATTATATGAGAAACATTGCGATAAAATGAATAAACGCAAATAATAGAAGAAATATGTATATAAACTAATAAACAAAAAAAAAATATTTAAGAGATTCATGCATTGATAGTGCATGGTGGCAGTGGATAGTGTGTTATGTAAATTTAGTGCTAATGTATTCTATAATACGGATACTCTTTTAATTTTAAAGGATTTAATTTCATCCTGTAAAAATTAATGTCTTTAATTTATTATACAATTGCTATTGTTACAATTTATTTTTATAATATAGGTTTATATCTAAACGATTAATACTTACGCCACAACGACTATCAGCGTCTACTATAAAATATACAAATATTTTATTAATATTAATATTTACAAAATATTTATTGGAATGTCGTTGGAATGTAGGTACAATTAAATATATTCATTACAATTTTGCAAAGCCCTGCTATTTGATATGGCATTGTTCGCCTAAAATACTTATTTGAGCATTTCATTCGTTGATAATCTTGGAACATCAACACATTCACTGTTTCATATAAAATAATTATATTTATCTGTTTGTTCCCTTTGTATTCTTAAATGTATTGTTAAAATTGAATTGTGACAGTAAAAATATATTTGGTGGGGCTATGACAATTAAACAGTGAGTGTGTTAATACACATTCGTCATAAAAATAACCTATTTCTTAATAATAAAGCTAAAAGAATACAAAATTCTACAATAACGTACACGACAACCAGTTGTAGTAACTGCATAGCAATATAATGGATGCTTTTATAATTTATCGTAGCACGGTACGATATTGTACGATTTTATCGTTACGATATAACAGGAGCTCAAAATCTATGAAGTTTCATAAAAAACATCATTTAATTTTTGCCACGATATCGTGGACATGTACGGTACGATGATACCGCGGATGTCTACGGAAATTTAGAAGTGTCTCTATATAATTTCATATATTTTGTTTTCTTGTTATACTATGACTGTAAAATCTTACAATATCGTATTGAACTACGTTAAATTATAAAGGCAACTATTTGGTGATATTACCTATACAGATATACAATCAATAATATTGACTATTATTGTTCTGGTACAAATTGTACCGAATTGAAACTAGTACGATATAGTATTATGTAAGATTGACCAGAATACGACAAAACGCAGTTCTTATGATTACTGACCTTCACTGTCGCTGTCACTTTTATCTGAAACGATATAGAAGTTGTATTAGATTTCGTCAGTCACTAGTGTTATTGGGTTTCAACAAGAGTTGAGTAATGTGCTCATTGGTGTTTCTTATCTAATTATAATGTTATTTTCGTAAATAACTACCTATTATCAGTCAACGACACAAATACTAGTAATATCTCGATTTTACATTGAAATCAGGTACAAGTATTAATGTAAAGAATAAGGAGAATATAAAGAAAATTATCTGTTTTTTTTTTATCACCTATTTTGTTACAGAAAAAATAAATGCTAAAACTTATTACTGAAAGCAAGAAATTTATTTGAAAATAAAAGATGCGAATATATTCTGTTTGAAAAGAAAAATATAGATTTAGTTGTCAAAACTGTACAAGTGATATTATTTACAATATAGTGAACATTGTTTTTCACGGTTGTTACTTTTTTATAATGGCATCAACTGCAGAGATATATATGAGTACAATGACAATCGTACTGTATATAACATAGGAGTAAATAACTACTAAAACAACGTAATAATACGCGAGTAAAGCCGATAATTAATTATAATACAGTATAATATCTTTTTTTTTTCATTTGGCATATTTGGTAAGAGAAACAGAAAAAAGGCGAATGCCAATTTTTATGTGGTTACTTAGTAAGTAAATTTTATATAAAAATATTTTTAATTTAGTAATTTAAACATAACATAGACAAAAGAAAACAATATTAGACAATAATAAACTTAATATACTTAAATATAATATTTATAATATAATAATTATAATAAACTTAATAGCGTCTCGCCCACGCTCTATATTTTGAGAACCACAGTATTCCAGACGCTGAGCCTGTAATCCTGGTATTTGCTGGTGATGGTGATGATCCATGAGAATTTGTAATAAGTTTTAATATAAATTTAAATCTAAGTCTGTAACTAAGGGTGAATATATGCTATTATATTGAAAACATCACTTTTTCATAAATCGGCTCTCGAATTACTGGACTATCTTTTTATCTCAGACATTTGTTTATTTAATATATTTTTATTTACGGTTTACTGAATACGCCAAGTGTATGGAAGATATTTAAATAGGTAATATATGATTAACATATCAAATCATAGAAGGTACGTGCAATTAGCTGCATTAAAAAAAATTTATAAAGTGCGCACTAATCTATGTGCTACTTAGTAATACTGACCTTTCTTACCCGGATACGCGTGTCTTTTTAATCTGTCGTACAGATCATCCTTGGTACCATAGATACTGGCGTTAGATCTTGCTAAACTATTCATCTTTCCATTCATCCCATTGTGTAGACTCTCTTTCATGTATGTTTCGTTGTAGAAATTAGGCATTTCCCAACCGTCTTCCTCGTCATCGTAATAATGAGCGTACGTCGAGTGGTGCGAGGGTGCAATGGACTCCGCGTATGGTGTATGCGCTCCATAGTAGAAGTTCACTTGGGAACCATTTTGGTCAATAGCTGGAGTTAGTGTTTTCTTTGGTTCCTTCTTCTTTGTTGACCTGTTAAAACAATTGTTAAATAATTAATTCTATTTATTTTTTCATTTTCAAGAACTTGTAGGTAGAACTGACACTCTCGTAAATTCAATAATAATAATTATGATAGCACACAGCTATGTTTCGTTCAACTGGTGTCCCATGGTGTTCGTGTCACAATCTATCTAGGGCCTGAAGGAAAGAAGCATACACATCTGCTTCTCAACATCACTTCTTGCTAAGGAAAGTCTATATATTCCTATAGTAATACTAGTATTATAGTAATATCTTTCTCTTATGTGAAGTGACCCGTGTCTAATATTACGACGTTAATGGATTGTGATGATGGACTACATAATAAAAAAATGTATTGTCTGTATACAAAAACTCAATAGTTGTTGTACTTTCACATACAATATAATTTTATGTGAAAGTAAAACAGTTTTATTTCTTTCATATTATCATATTATAACAGAATTAATGGTCTCTAAATTAAATATAAGATAACATTTGTTTTGCGGAGAACTGGCTATTACTAGGTATCCCAAGAATCTGTGTCATAGGTCACCAGGTATAATCATTATTATAAATAAATATTATATTTATATGAAAGCAATTCAAAAATATTAAGTGTATGAATACAATTACAACATAATATGTTTATAACCACAGATAATATAATATTAGATGTAATAAACTGACCTGGCACATATCATCCAGACCAGTAGTACAAGGAATATGATGAATATGACGCCTCCGGCAACTCCACTTGCAATGTAGGCGAATTCGCTCTTGTCCCTGCAGTGTCGGCCAGTGAACGAGCCTGTACAACGGCAGGATGGCTCACCGCGCGTGTCTTTTACACATTCACCACCGTTATCACAGAAGTTATGGCATACATCTGAAAAATACGTAAAATATAATGCATTCATTTCTTCAATAGATGGGGTTACGGTCGATTCTGAGGCATCATTTCTCTAAAGTGAATCTTTATTGTAAAGATCAATACGAGTTATTTTTCTAATAGATTTAAGTTAAAATTAGATTATAATTGTTCATAAAACAGTAATTTTGTTAAATTATCAAATTAAAATATTAGGTAATGAGATAAGTCCAGAGAAATGGCGTAACGGAGTTTGAGCATTTCATTATCAAATTGGAACTGACTTTATTGGTAGGTACTTTTGCAAATCCCGCACATATATAATGAGAGATAAACACATGACTCTCAATACAAACAAAATAAATAAATATTCTTACGACTGTGATCCTCTATTAAATAAGATCACTACTGCGATTTCTGATAGGGTAGTCAAAGTCACCTAATCAACACAAGGAATTAAAACTTTCAAATTATTGATAAAATATTTATAAATAATGACGATCTAGGTAGAACTAATATGTGATATATATATAAAATATGAAATAATATGTGATATTGTCAGTAAATTTATAATACAATATCATAATATATAATATAATTTAGCCAGGTATATTTAGTTATAATAATTTTTATTTAATTAATAATATAAATGTTTGAAAATATTATAACGATAAATTCGTTAGATCATAATACGAAGTATGGTAGTTTACCTTGTACCAAGAAATGTAATGAATATATTTCAACTTACCTATACAAACTTTTCCGGTCCCGTTGAAGCCTGGTTTGCATTGGCACTTGAATTCATTGTCCGGCATGAGAAGGCAGTACGCGTTCACATCGCAGTGCATCTCTGGACCACTCATCTCACATGGGTTGGTACATTGTGATTCGGACGTCTGTAAAATTAAAGAATGTGAGTTTGGCAGTCGGGCTGGCAACCGCAGTTAGGCTTTGGTGATACTTTAAGAGTGACGCTATTGCACATCCGTCGCACCCACGGGAATGGAAGGTCAAAACATAAATAGTGTATTACATTATAAGTTAATAAAGACGCAACGAAATAGTCGCTTACTAAAATGTCTATACTGGGAAATTCTGGAATAACTGTAAAAAAAATGTGCCCAACCTAGAAAATTACTATTCCATACAGATCTTAGTAGAATACAGACCTAATGATCGTAAGACAATAATTGTTTAAAAATTTTAAATTTGCAATTACCTATATGTAATTCATTGTATAAGTAACTATTCGCTTGCAATTGGAATCTATATAAGTCATTATTATAAACCACATATTTTAAATAAAGATCTTTAATAATAATTAATATATGAATAAAATTATAACAGTTTTCATTATTATATAACTTACCGCGCCAGGTTCCTTTGTGCTGGTGTTAATAGGGCACGGCACACATGCAGTCTGTTGGGCCTCCGACTGGTACATGCCTTTCTTGCACTGTATGCATGTGTTCAACGTCACATTGAGGTAAGATCCTATAATAACAAGAAGAAAAACATGTTTCAGATATCTTTTTTTACTCAGTTTCAATTTTAAATATCTGCAATCTATGGACAGCAATTGAAGCATTAAAATATACTTAGTAAAAAGTCAATGAAATAGTTTTTCAATAATCGTTTTATGCTGCGAAAGTATGTAATATCATAAGTTATTGTATCTTATACAGACATTAACAATGGAAATATAATCGGAAAGATGTTAGATATCACAGAAGTATCACAGAAGAAGAATTTTTATGAAAACAATTATAGAGAATACAAATAGAAAATACGCTTATCTGCCGTTAATCGTAAAAGAAAAGAAATAACAGAATTATACTTGTATCTGTTTAAAGGGTAAGAAGACAGTGAACTAATACTAGGAATATAACATTTTATTCTTGGTATAACCACAGATAATATAGTATGAGTAACTATACTACTTGATATATCTGTGGTAATATTATGTTTATAGATGACGGTTCGTTGAATTCCGTTCCGTTGAATTGGGCTGGCTTATTCGTATAATGACAGACTTACTCGTTAGTATTTATATGTTATCGTTACTTTTAATATTAAAGATGTTATAAGAGGCAACTAAGGCAATAAAGCACAATACATCAGTGCAATTACTTGCACTGATTTATTGTATTTTATTTTATAAAAATATAGGATATAAATATTTTTATACTTGATTGGTTATGGCCTACAATTGCAATTAACAAATCAAGTATAGAAGTTTGTTACTTGTGATAAATTTATTTGTGATAACAGTAGGCTATATATTCTTGTTGTTAGAGAAACCTGTTCCTAGCAATGGGACGTTAACAGTTAATGGTCGTGGTAATGAGTTAACAGTATGTCGTTACAAATTATTGTCTTGTGGCCTTAAATCGGATTATGGTAGTATACTTAAAGCGATATTCACCAGGTTTGCAGACAGGTAAAGAGCATTGGTCAGCAGAGGAGGCGCCCGCTTGTGGTGTAGTGGTACCGGGTGGGCACGGCGCACATGCGGCACCGGCCCCATTAGCGCGCCAAGTACCGCGTGGGCAAGGTTCGCAGCCACCGTCGCTGCTTAGTTGTTCACCTGAAAGAAGTCATAAATAAGAAGAATATAAATAACAATAAGAAAAAATATCGGTGATATATAAATGTAGGATCCCTATTAATATCATAAATAGATTTTGTTTGTTTCATTAAAATGAGTTTGTTTTTTACTTTATAGCGTCGAAACGACTCAACTAATTACTATGAAATTTGATATACAGATGCCATATGAGATGAAGAAGGATATAGGTTATCTTTTATCCTGGTTAGTTAGTATACATACCCTGGTCACGGAGACGAAGCTAGTAATCTTATAAAAGATGTACTGGTTTTCATAAGGTTTAGTATAATAGCCGCATATATATGTAACAATAACCAGTCACTTATCAGATTTGGTTGCATTTACTTTTATGGCACTGATTTTTTCACAATTTTTTTTACAATGATGTTTTTTGATTTGTGATGTAAGATAGATCATTCTCTAATACAAGAAATATGCAAGTGCTCAGAAGTGTTAAAATATGAGGGTCAATAAGTCAGTTACCATTTTCCAATAGGTGTTTTGTTGGCTTGCCACTTATTAATTAAAAAAAGGTATGATGCTGTCAATTTATTTTGGAAAATAGCGATCCAGTCAATCTACTCACCAGAAGGACAATCGTCACGGCATTCGGCAGCAGAAACTGCTTCAGTGGCTCTTGTAGTCTGTCCTCTAGGGCAAGCGGTGCAGGAGAAAGCACCTTCTCTCGGTTGATATGAACCGTGCCCACATGGCCTGCACAATTCTGCTTCAGCATCATAATATTTGCCCGCTGCACAACGCTCTGCAAAACATACATAGAATAAGGATAAATTACAAATAAACATATTTTGATGGACAAAAAGAGTGCTTTGATTATTTTTCATCAGACATTTACTAAATTTTTAAAGAAATAAGGTATCAGCGTCGCAGAATACTGAAAAGGTATATTTGATATCAAGTTGAGGAATTTTAGTTCGATTCAAGGGCAGGTACCTTTACAATCGGCTGCACTTCTTGCACCAGATGTTTGGGTTACTCCAGGTTGTCCAGCGATGGCAGGGCAGGCGATACATTGTAGCTGTCCGGCTTCAGATTGGTAAGTTCCAGCGGGACACGGTTTGCAAGTGTCACTTGCAGCGTCCAAGTAAGTACCCACCGCGCAAGCAACTGTTAATAAGAATGGTTTTGTTTTCATGAATATACAATGTACGTTTTGACAAATATAAACATCTGCAAATGCTACTGTGACTTGTGGCAGTGTTTTAATTTATTATTACAAAAGTAGTTGTACTGGGCCAGAATCTATTGATATTGGCCGCGAAACTAAACTACTTTTCTTAAGAGTTTCTTATTTTTTTTAAAGATTTTCACAAAACTTCAAAATTTCAAGTTAGTATACTACCCTAAATAACTAACTTTGTACTCATTGATATCGTAATAGATACCCTATATCTGTATCTGTCCTCTGCTGAACGTTAGACTTCTCCATAAGGGGAGTTTTATCAGTAGTTGCTACGCTTGGCAGGCGGCTTAGCAACCTCAGTTAGGCTTTTACAGATGTTTCAAGAGGAACGTTGCTGCCCATCCCTCTACCATATGCTCCCTTAGTCGCCTCTTACGACACCCACGGGAAAGGAAGGGGTGGTCCATTCTATGCCGGGACCTACACGGCGATACTCTATATACTTGTATATAATGCTGCATTTAGGTCGCAGGTGTTTACAGGTTGCTTAAGCGTTTAAATGATTTGATTTAAATTATAAAGATAATAATTATTAAAAAAAAAAATACGTGTGAAGCAATTTGCATACCACAATCGGGCGCCATCACGACTTGTCCCATAGGGCAGGCATAGTCGGAAACTAGTTCTAAGCTAGCCGGGTCAGGGACCGTGTTCGGAAGAATGTTTCGCACGTCGAATTGTTCGTCTTCGAGAATAAGTTTCTCCAGTAATTTTTGTACTGTTGATCGTTCATTGGTACCACTGTGAATTACTGGGTCGCTGAAATTACAAATGTTACAGTTACATTTAGATATTTATCGTAAAGGATTTAATATTTATTGCAGGTATGGCGCTAAATACCTAATATATTTTTGATAATAAACAATAAAATGAAACATAAGTAATTTTTAAGAAAAAAATATTTAAGTACGTAAAATAAAATATTTATAATAAATATTACCAACGTAAGTGCTAGATAGAGAAGCATGCAAACTTACTTGACAGCCGGGAATGAGATTTCAACGCTGTACGTATCGCCCACTTGTCTTCCTTCCCTACTGCTTCGTGTCCTAAGTGCCAGATAAAAGAACATGCAATCGTGTTGGAAAGTGACATGCCATGTACGTCTAAAGTAGATTTAGAATAAACACTAACAGTGCTACAGAAACGATTGTATTGTTTTAGAGACATTTTAACTAAATGTGCAGTACTAAATATTCAGTTATTGCAACACATGCTTCCAATAGTGCACTACAGAAATATATTTTTTTCGATTATATCGTAACAATCGTGCTGTGTTCCCACACCTGTCTACGTAATTCGCGAATATTTAATATCGAAGCCTATATTAAATATTACTCTTATGTTTCGAAATTATATTATTTAAATATCTACTCAGTCGTTAAAATTTAATAAGTGTAAATACTTACTCATCCACTGGTATAATTGCGTCCAAAACGTACGTGTCCTCTGTAGGGGCGGAGGTAGGCGCCACTTGTCTTGTTTGTCTAACATTCGCACGATGGTCACATTTGACATTGATATCGAATTCTTTACATTCCCTAGTACCTGTTCAAAGAATATTGTGTTTGTAATGAGTCGTACATATAGTGGCATTATATTTATTTAAAACTTTAATGCGCAATATAAATATACATGTGTCTACATATGGTGGCCTCAAGACCGAAAGATATTCTCTACCAGCCAAACAGAGCAATAAATATTTGTATTATATTTATCAATACCGTGTTCAACTTTTTGAGTACCTTGGGAGAGATATTCTGCATTGCCTTTATTTAATAATAAATAGCACAAAGTTATAATAAATAGCTTACGAGTAATCGCCCAACCTACATATCCCGAAAAGCCAGTATTACATATGAAAGTATTTCGAGACAAAGACTTACCCTCGATGGCATATGAACAGAAGTTCCAATCTCTGTTCAGTTGATTAATGGCAGTTCGTACTTTCTGTCGTAATACACCTTGCCCTGCGTCGTTGCAAAGAACTGAACTTGGGAATAACATGGAGATTTTAAATACACGCTGAGCTGGTTGAGACGCTGTAAAAAAAATTTACAATATCAAATGAAAAGTAATAAGCTCTTTTAGGGGCATTAAACTGAATTTGTTTAATTATTTACTAAGAATTTTTGTTAATCATTATTCCAGCATCATGAAAAATATTAATAAAACAATATATAATAATAAAACATAATAATTGAATTATCTTACGTGAACAAGCAGGATATATAAGTGGTAGGCTTGGGTCTTTAGTTGGTCTCCAGAAACCTTCAGCACCGCAAGTATAGAATGGTGGAACTGGTTGTGAAAACCTAAGGCCGTCGCGGCAAGCTATTTCGCAAACCTTAAATTGTCCGCCCGCTCCCCAATCACGGCAAGATTGATAGCCACCCAATGGATCAACCAATGGAGGACAGAATTCAGCTGAAAAAATAAAAGATCAGTACAGATCTGTTTTTCTATATATTAAACATATATAAGCCAATTTAAATTAAATTTTGTACTTACATAGTACAGTAACCTTGAAAGTACATGTTGCAGCATTACCGGCCGCATCATAGGCGATGTAAGCTATATCATATGCTCCCCAAGCTAAATTTTGACCAGGTTTATGCCCGGATTTTTCTACTATATTACTAACTCCTACATTGTCGCTGAATACAGGAGCATCCCAATTAACTATTGAAGATCCATTCTTTGCAATAACCCATAAATCACCAGGGCATCGATCTACTTTTGGTGGTTCTTTGTCGACTTGCAGTTGTTGACATTTACCACCAGTATAACCATTGGGGCAAACTCTTTGGCCACAGTGAGATGGGACTATTCTTTCGACTCCTCCAACTAAGTCTTCATAACCAGCCCAAGTTAAAGCTAATCCATTGTAAAGGACTGGTTCACTTCTACAATCTCTAACTTGTTTCTGAATCTCATTAGTCACATCAAGTGCTCGGTTCCATATTTGAACTTTAGTAAGGTAACCTTGGAAGCCAGATTCAGTATATGCCTTAGGATTGTCAGACTGAGGTTTACCTAATGTTACCCAAACGCTAAAAAAAAATATTGTTTGTTATATATATAGTTGTACAGATTTGAAATATATGCACACTCATTGCTCAATGTAATGAAAAATTATGCAGGAAAACTTACTATTGTGGAAGTGTTCGTCCACTACCATATCCTTCAATCTTACTGGCAATTAAACCTTCAGTGATAAGTGTCAGTTCACCACCATTGCTGCCATCCCAGACAAGAGCGACGTGGTGCCATTGTCCATCGTTAACGGTAGCGAATTCACCAAAACTTAAATAAACGTCTTGAAGTTCAGGGAATAGAGATACTTGAACTCCGTTAGAATGAGCTTGTATTATAATTCTTCTATTAAGAGCGATATGCGAATTGCTGTAATAATAATAATAAAAAAAATAAGTGAGTACTTCAATTAAAAAATATATTAATTTAATTTGATATTACATATTTAATAAACTTATTTTTTATGATTACCTGACGCTGTAGGCCGTAAAAAATACACCACCTTCATCTTGCTGGGTATATTGTACCCACATAGCAATAGTCAAACTATCAGTTGATCCTGTGTCAAATGGTACGACTTGTGCAGCGCTTGATCGCAATGGATCACTGAAGTAAAGATCATAGTCGACGCTTATTGCTGAAATAATATTACAAATTAGAGTTATTAATATCGTAACATTTCATAGAAGGATAATTTTGATTAGAGTAAATGTAAAAAAGTAGGTATTTGTTGATTTTTCGAAATAAATTTCGAAAGAGTATGTTTAATTATTTACACTGATGTTTGGCTAGAAATATATAGGAAGGTAGTCACAGGTTTAAAATAAAATATGTAGCGTATGAATAGAAATAAAGAGCTTATGCGGTTTACGTTATAGATATAACTTACTTTTTCTACAGTCGTCACCAGTAAGATTGAATGGGCATTGGCAGTAAAATCTTCCAGGTAAATCAATACAGGTAGCAGAGGGTGGGCAAGAATTCTCCTTGCAATCTACAATGTCTTCGTCACAGTTCTTTCCTTTGAAGCCTGGAGCACAAGTGCAAGTGTAATCTTCACCTTCGTCTATGCATGTAGCTCCATTTTGGCAAAGACCAGCATCACAAGCATCAAATTCGTACTGACATCCAATACCGGTATAGTCTGAGGAACAAGTACAATTAAGCCCGGAACCGAAATCTTGACATTTCCCACCATGCATACATGGACTGCCAATACATCTTTCGGGTGCAGTTTCGCATTGTTTTCCATCTGTTCCGCTTGGGCAACTGAAAGGTAAATAAATTTGCATATATACACATTTTACCACACAATACAAGTTATTCTTACTTACTCATAATTTTAAAAGTGAAAATGATTTTGTTTATTTGTTACCTCATAGCGCTTCAACGCTTTAAACAATAACTATGAAATTTGAGTAGTAGAAAAGATTTATTTCTCTAATAATTGTTTATGTTACTAAACATACGGACGAAGTTGCGGGCAAATACAACTAATACTACAAATAATAATAGTCAGGAATATTAAGTTTTAGAATTTCGCGTTGCATGTTATATATTATATTATATAATTAACGAGAATTAACATGATAGATTACAATAAATTATCTGAATTATCTCGATGTTTCGACCAGATTACACTGGCCGTGACTATTAGGTAAAATATTATAGTTTACCTAAATGATTGCGTTAATTTCTGTCTCTTATAAAACAATAGTAAGGAATACTTACACGCAGAAGTAGTCTTGGAAAAGATCGATACAATTTGCATTATTTTGGCATGGTCTGTTCATACAATTACCAATATCTTTTTCGCATCGTTTGCCAGTCCATCCTGCTTGGCAGATGCATTTGTAGTCGCCGATTTCATCTTTACATGATCCACCATTAAAGCAAGGATTTGAAGCACAATCATCAATATTTGTTTCACACATTTCTCCCGTAAAACCTTCACGACACACACATTGGTATTTATTATCCAGATCTACACAGCGTTCTGTACCTTGTGGATTGCAAGGCTCTGTTAAACATTCATCGATAGCTGTTTCACATTGCAGTCCTATGAAACCAGGTCTACATTTGCATATAAAACCTTCTATTTGATCAATGCAAGTAGCACTATTTTGACATGGGTTTGAAGCACAATCATCAATAGTATGTTGACATCTTTTTCCTGTATATCCAGCTTCACAGTTGCAAGTAAAATCATCAATTCCATCAATACATTGGCCTCCGTTTTCGCAGGGTGATATAACGCATTCATTGATATTAATATCACAAGAAGGTCCAGTCCATCCCGGATCGCAAATGCATTGATGAACAAAAAGTTTATCGACACAAATACCGTGTTTGCATGGTTCACTTGAACAAAGATCTATTTTTTCATGGCAGCGTTTTCCCGAAAAACCTGGTGGACATGCACAGCTAAAATCGTTGACCAAATCAGTACATGGAGCGCCGAGTAAGCAAGGTTTTTCAATACAGTCATCAGTATTTATTTCACAAAGTTGGCCTTCCCATCCTGGCAAACATTCGCACTTGTAACGTCCTTGTTGTAAAGCAATACATGTTGCACCGTTCGTACATGGGTTTCCATTAGCTGTGCAAGGATCGACCTGGAATATGTTTGAATTGTAGTATTAAATCTCAAGGTTTATATAAATATTATATACATACAATAACTACATATGTACAGTACTTACCGTTATATCACAATCAATGCCAGTGTATCCTGATCTACATAAACAAGTATAATTATCAAATCCAGGTTCATCTTTGCACATGGCACGTTCAGGACATGTGTCATTTCTACAATCAGATCTTTCTTCTTGACAGTTGATACCACCATACCCTGTTGGGCATGAGCATCTATAGCCTTGAGGAAGATCAATACAAGTACCACCGTTGTAACAAGGCTGACTAGCACATTCATCAATATCTATTTCGCATCTGCGTCCTGAGAAACCAGCTGGGCAGTAACATTGAACACCATGTCCTTTAGGAACACAAAGACCACCATGTTGACAAGCACTATTTGAGCATTCTACTGGAATACATTCTTCTAAAGCTGTGGCGCCTGTTCCTACAGTTTTCATATTTGTTGGACATTCCATACACATAGTTTGACCCATCAAATGTTGGTAAAAGTTTCTAGGGCATTGAGAGCAAGGTGCCAAACCAGTTGGAGAATATGTACCAGGAGCACATTTAGCTCTGCATTTTTCTCTACCCGATGCAGCTGGTTGATAAGTATACGTATTAACAGGACACGCTTGGCAGTCTTTGAATCCTCCAGTTGGCGGTGAGCTTGTATAACTATTTCGTGGACATTCTAGGCAAGGAACTAATCCTGTTGGTGAGTAAGTACCATATCCACATACTGGAATACAATCATTTATATCTTTAGAGCCCTCTTCTCTTGTAAATGTTCCTTGTGGACATTTAAGACAAGCACCCTGGCGAGCTTGATTTTGGAAGTACCCTCGTGGACACATAGTACAAGACTTTTGTTTTTCTCCAGCAAATGTTCCGGCAGGACAATGCACTGGAATAAACATTTTAAGAATATAATTAAACTTATTGTAGTTTAAGAATAATAATATTTGAAAGAATCAATTATCGAAATTAAATTAAGTGTCATAATTTGTTTAATGTTTTTAATAATTTTATAAATTGTTTTTGCAAAACGTATTTAAATTATAAATAATGACAGACGAATTTAATCGACAATGATTCAATTAATGTTTCCACATAACAGTTCACTTAAATTCTCGATTTCTGTTGCACGTTTTTCTTATATTAAATAGTTTTAATAATAAAATTACTAGTACTAATTACTTACAGCATCTAGGCACATCGTTTGTATCCATGTTCAATACTTCGCCAACACTACAAGTAAAACCTCTTGATATGGAACTTCTGATAGCTCGAAGTGGAGGACATTGGTTGCCAATAGATGATACGTTTAATAGAGGTTCAATAAGCGCACTAGCATAAGGCACTGAGAGATCAAATATAAGGTTTAATGTTGAACCACAAAGATCATATAGTTGTGTCTGTCTAATAGCTGGCGTAATAGCTAACACAAAGTCCATTCCAACAACATTTTCATCGAGAAGACTCGGCATTGCTTTTACAAAGGTTACGTTTATGTTTACATTAACAGCTGAGCAACGTTGAGACAATCTTTCATTAAGAATGTTATCATACTGTGCTAGTAAGTCCTTATATTGAGGTAAACAGGCATTCGATACTGCTCCTAATGCTCTATAATTAACATTGGCAACGACATGATAAGCGGCTTGCTGTGTATCTGAAAATAAATTTGTTGATTTGTTTAGTTTTTAACTGTTTATTATATTAATAAATTATCTACAACTTTATTATTTAAGACTGTTTAACTAAAATTGTTAATCTCTACTTACTTTCAGAAACGCAGTCAGGTACAACAGCTGTTGGCATCCATCGTCGCTTTGTTTCACAAATAAAGGTTTTGACTGGTTCACCATCGGTAAATCGGAACCCTGGGCTGCAAGTTGCTATACATTGTATTCCTCTATCACCAGGTAGGCAATTAAGTGCACCGTGTGCTGGAGGCATTAGTTCCCAGTCTACACATGGTGTTGCTTGTACAGATACCTATAAAAATATATTATATAAAAGTTAATGAACTTTAGTTTAGTTAATCACAATATAAAGGAAATATTTCATAAAGAAAAAAAGTAATTATATTTACCTGGAAATTACATTGGGCTTTGTTTCCGTATTTATCAGATGCAATTACTGTTACGTTTTCGTATCCTCGGATTGGTATAACTGCCCTATCCGGAATGAATTTTAAGTAGACTTCACCTGATGCATCTGTTGCATTAATTTTTTTTCTGGTTTCGTTAAAATTAACAGCATAACTATCTTGTTTATCTACTAGTTCAATTACATAACTTTGTGGGCAACTTAGTTTTGGTGGAGTGTAATCTGGGACAGTGATATTGACTTCACAAATAGCGACATTTCCATCGAAATCGAAAGCAACATATCGCACTACCATATTATGAAAAACTTGAATAGGACTTCTGAAATGCGGAGGTGTTACTTCGAGACGAGCAATGGCACCTGAGTTGTCTGTAGCTGTTGGTTCAGTAAAATTAACTGGAAGAAGTCCTCCATTAACATCAGTTTGTACTACAATAGGCTGTTGAGGACAATTTTGGAAAACAGGTGGTTCATTATCTGAAAATAAAAATTAATTTTTAATTATGCGTTAAAAAAAATATATAAAATACATTTATTGTTAAAAATGCTAATAAAAAATTATGCTTACCAACACAAGGAGAATATCCGTAATCATAACCGAGTAATGGTTCTGCTGCAGGTTCATCACAACCCATGAGCTCGAATTTTAAACAAGCATTGTCCATGAAACTAACAATACCCAAAATAACAAATCTAGCTTGGACATATTTGGGTAATGTAATCATTGCGAGTTCTCCATAGTTACCAGGATCCCTCATTGTTAGATTAAAGTTAGGGAAGTATACCACGTAGTTTTCTTTTTCTGCTTGTTTATAAAAGAATCTTATTTCTGTAGGTCGACCAACAATATCAGATGTTACAACTCCTTTTACTAAAATAGCTTTTACTCGATATACTTTACCCAAATCAACACTAACGTAAGTGAAAGGTTCTTGTTTACCACACCAACCAGTGACCGAATTTAGCCTGATATTCCTCGCTTCATAATTAGGTCTTTCAGAAGTAGCATTAATTGCGGAGTCTGGAATTCGTCCTGACGCTAATCCAAGAGGTTTGATGACTTTGCATTCTGGTTCCCTGATGCAGGTAATCGGTCTGGGATTAATCAGTATATATCCAGGTCTAGAGCAGCCAAATAAGACTTCAGATCCTTGTTCATAACTTCTTGCTATTTGAAAACCATCTGCGGGTCTACCAGGGTCTTCACAAACGGGCCCCTCACACCTTAAGTCACCGAAGTCCCAAATACCATTTCCTTGGCATCTAACAACATTGTCATGTTTACTTGTTTGCCCAGCAAGCTTGAATGTATTTTGACAACCAAAGAAAAAGGAGCTTTGGTATCTTGTATCAAGATATTGCCCGTATTCTGCACCAGGTGTTGGCATTGGTACGCCACAATCTTTTCTGGGACATTGCGGTTGAGCACCAGATAGCCAGTAGTCCGGCAGACCCTGGAATAAAACAAGTTATATTAGCAAGCTAAATAAATTGTAGTAGTAAATTGCAGTATATAACAGTAAGTATAGTGTAATTTTACGATGTATTTCTATAATTAAATTATTTTTACCGGTTTAGGATCATAAACACACTGTCTGAAATGTGATGTTACAGTATTTCTCAACTCTCTTCCAGGTGCCGTACAAGTAATAGTAACATTGTCTCTATATGGCAATAATACGCTTTCAGGATCTTCTCTTATTATTTTTAGTCCATCATTTTTGTCGTCAGACAATGTAACACAGCGGGCATCTAAAACAAGTAATATATTATAATGTTATTTTACAAGAACAAAAATAATAATAAAGCAAATAAATAATAGGTATGTATTCTTACATTGACATTCTGGAGCTGTTCCATTCCAAGTACCACTTGAAGTACAAAGTAAGGAAGAGAAACCAGACATTACATAACCGAAGTCACACTGGAACTGAACTATATCGCCAAAGTGGTACGTGTTTTTAGTTGACAAAATTTTACCATTTTCAGGTGAAACAATTAAAGGACACATAACTGGTACACATGACTTATTCTTTTGGTAAGTATCGCCATCTCTATCACCTGTTTCCGATGTTACAATAGCAAATCCAGCTGTACCATTTGTTGAATATAATTCGTATCCTATGTTACAGGCGCAAGAAAAGTTTCCAGGGCTGAAAAATAAAACAATATTTATATTACAGTTCCATAATAATAAATAGGTAATTTAATTTGATAACTTTTTTTAATTTTATTAAGGACTTACGTGTTAATACATTTCTGATCACATCCTCCATTATTTTCGCTACACTCGTTAATATCAGTGCAGTCTAATCTAGCACATCCCATAATTTCAAGTTTTAGACAAGGTGCACCGACATAGTCTTGTATCTTAAATTTAACATATTGTGCTTCAATTGGTACTGGTAAATTCAAAACAGATAAAGTAGGTTCTAAAATACGGAATTCAACTGCTGTTCCATCAGGATTAGTATAATCTTTAAAGGTATCAGTTAAGTCATTGGTATATTGGATTCTAATAGCTGAAGTAAATGCTATGTTGCCATCCGCACGCATGACGCTCATGGTTCTGAAACCTCTGATAATTGTAGGTGCTCGCAAATCTACAAGAACCCAGTTAGCTCCAGCTTCCAAATTATTACCACACCATCCGCCTCCATTATTCAACCGGACCATCTGAAATTAAATTAAAATATGTTAAATAAATTTTATATACATTATTTAAATAAAATAGTATAGTAAAACAATAACTACTCACCCCCTTGTAATATCCAGATTCGGACGTTGAAGTGGTGATAGACTCATCTGGAATGGCACCATTAATCAGTCCTAGGTCACCAACAGGCCGGCATTCTAAACTTGGTGAGAATCCAGGCCGACACGGACAAAAGAAACCACCTTGAGTATTTTTGCATTGTGTAGAAGCTGTATCACATTGATTGCTAAGACACTCGTTAATATCATCACACGTAGGTGCCTGATTAAATTCCTGATTAGGTCCACATTTTAACACACTGAGTCCATTAAGTTTATAACCTGGAAAATTTAATATTATTTTTATTGAACATCATTCGTAATTTATACACATTATAAAATAAAATTATCGATATTTGATACGTTTTGTTAACCAAATTATTAAATATAATTGTTCTAGGCAAATATATCTCTTTAGAGTTAATTGTAAAATATAATTTATTCGAAAATATATTTAATAAAAATAATTTAAATATACCTTTAAAGCATTGAACACGTGCTTCGTCTCCAAACATATAAATTCTACTTTGATCAACAATGAAACCATTTTTTATTTCAGGGAATTTAGGACAGATTGCCTTGGAACATGATGGTACGTCACCAGACCATGTGCCATTGCTCATACATAGTAGAACTGGTTGTCCTGAACGAACATATCCAGGTTCGCACTCATATCGGATAATAGTACCGTAACTGCGGCCGCCTCCATTTAAAATAGTTACGTTTGCATGTGGTACATCAGGAAGAGCGACACACTGAGATGCTATGAAAAACAAATTATTGTTATTGTTACATTATTATTTAAAAATAGAAAATATTGGCCAATTGACAATAGATATGTCGTTGTAGTGCTTACCAAGACATGTAGGGGTTCTTTCCCATCGTCCGTCTGATAAGCAAGATATTTTTTCAATAGGCTGTCCGGTGGGAAAAGCAAATCCAGCATAACACTGGTAAGTAGCAACACCACGGTAAGTAACATTTGTAGAACCGATGGAGAATCCATTATCTATTTGTGGGACAGGACCACAATAGACCTCTGAAAAGTTTATATATGTATTTTATGATTTGATACAGATTTGAATAAAGAAATAAAAAAATATGTATACACTCACATAAGTTGTTATTATTGCACTCTGTTACGTACCTTGACAGCTAGGAATGTATGTTGTTGACCACTTTCCGCCATCTAAGCATTGTGTAGTAATTCGCGGTTTACCAGTGGCAAATTCTTGACCAATTGGACAAGAGAATGTGCTTACGGTTCCAAAGGCCGTGTCTCTGTTTGATGCTAAAGCACCTATCCCAGACTTTAAAGGTGGACAATCTGAAATGTTATAAATATTTTTATGTACTTCGAGAATATAATAGTCACGCTTAGCGTTTTTCGAAGGAGAATTACAAAGAAAGATAAATAGGTATGAAATAGTGTTGTAGTATGTTTGCATTTTCGAATTAAGTAATAAATATAACAACAGTTGGCTTTATAAAGTATAAAAAAAATCCTGGTTTCTATAGGCTCAGAGTCACGCGTGTTTGAGAATTTACTCATGACAATTGAATAAAATGCATTTTTCTTCACAAATTACAGTTGCTTGTTTTATCATGAGGTAACAGATAATAAATAGTATTTTAACATTTTTTTTTACTATTTAGAATGTATATCTAATTGTATAACTATTTTTAATTAACTATTTCAATAAATTATGGATTTTGAGTTGTAGTTATTAAATAGATGGTTAGCACTTTCTAGCAAAGACATCGTCAATTTATTTACCATTTCAAATTGTATGAAAATTATTATTACCTGCAGAGAATGTAGCCTTCCATCCAGCTCCGTTATGTAACGCATCAGATACAAATCGTATTAGCATTTCACCACTCGATGCAGTTAATGTTATCCTAGGTTTAACAATAAATCCATTTTCAGAATGCAATCTCAAGCCACTCGTACTTGAGCCGTCAAATACTTGTACGATATCAGTAGGATGGATATTAAATTCATCAAATTTCAATGACAGTGGCCCACCATTTGGATTTTTTATTCTATATAAACATTCTTGATTATTAGGATAGTTACTTAAGCCGTAAGCAGGAGACGTGAAAGTTCCATTTGAAGCTATTATTGTAGCTCTACAGCCTTGTGAGTATCTCATATTGAATCCTTTTTTAGAATCCCCGAGACTTGTTCTAAAGTACATGTAAAGATGATTTGTTGTAGAAATAACTACTTTTTGATTTTCTTCACCGGGTCCAGTTAGTCTTGCAAGAACCGGACTAGAAGGACTATTTCCATCCTTTACTACAATATAATCTCTGTTTATTCCTAATTCTAGATCTGCAATTTCGAGAGAAACTATTCTACCTGGCTGAGCTTCAATTATATACATGCATTCTAATCCGCCAGGATAGCCATTAGGATAGCCAGGTGATGTTAGGATTTGACCCTGAGGTGTAGCCCTAAGAATGCCACCACAGTTAGATGATTCAGTCTTCCAAGAAGCGCGGAAACCTTTTCTTTCTACAGATCCGTCTGTACTAAATTTAATAATCATAAAGTTAGAAGCAGATACGTAAAGTTTATTAGATAGATCTTGTTTGCCTGATAATGTCGCTAAATTCACTGATTTATCTTCAGTTCTGCCTCCAACGAGAATTTGAACTGTGTCGAATGACTTCTCGGTTTCAAAATCTTGGAACTGTAAAACAATATTTTGCCCTTGTGGGCCTTCGAGTGTCCATTTACATTCACTAAATGCTGGGTACTTGTGAGGGTAATTTGGGCTTTCTACCACATCACCACTGCTAGCCATATAGAAATGACATTCAGAAGCACAATCCATTTCGTCGGATGCATCACCACAATCGTCTTGCTTGTCACATTTGAAGGCTGCGTTTATACATCTTCCGTTTGAACAATGGAAGGTTCCTAAAAGAAAAGAAAATATAAAAGCTATTGTCTTAACAACCTCAGCATTGACTTTAAACTTCCTTTGATTAATGTTTAATTGTTTATAATCGGATTAACCTACTAAAAGAACAAATTGCCGAAAAGTTATTTAATTGTCACTTACCAGCAGGACAGGCATTAGCTCTGCACATGAAAGGCAACAGAGTTTCACATGTAGTTAATTCCCATGATTGGCTATCTGATGTGACATGAACATCCACACATTCACCGTCCTTTGGATTTGGCTGTCGCAAATCCCAAAAACCAGCATATTGTGATACTAAGGTGCCGGCTGCTGACTCTAGTGTGTTTGTTCGCAGATCATCTACAGTTGCAAGTCCTAACCAATAATGATTGTTGCTAGGACTAGATGGTACCATGCTGGCTGTCATATTGTTTTCTGTATAGCTGTCTACAACCATTAATTCGCTACCGTATCTGAAAACATAATTATTATAATTATACCACTGATAAAAATAAAAAAAAAATATTCCTATTTTAAATATCCAAGTTATTCTCACAAGATTTATTTCAGTCGTATTTATAAGGGACAAAAATTATCTGTAGTCTTATTCATAATTGAGAAAACCTGTTTTCATAATATATATAAGGAAATAAGATATTATTTAAAAAAATAGCGATTTATATGCGAGATTGATTCTTTTAGAAGTTAGAGATATAACAAATATTCAAAGAAAAAATAAGGAATTAAATTTTATTTAGGAGTTGTCGAGAGAAATCGTGATTAGATTAGGTAAATAATAGATAATATCACTGGAATGAATGAGTGATCTGTATAAATACAGCTCTAAGCAGTAATATTTTATATTTTTTTATAAATGTAACATTGTCTGTCTGTTTAATGAGAAACTAGTACAATATTAAATAAAATAATAATATAATATAAAATAAAACTGGAATCGATTTAGAAAAGATTGTTTTCATTGGCTCGGTTAAGACTTCGGAATGTGTGAATTTGTTTACATAAAGCAACCGTGTCATTCGATTTTTTTTATTATAGATTATAGTGACCAGTAATAGGATATATTAAATGATGAGCGACAAATACGGAAATGCCCGCTACTGCTTTCGATCGCCAAGTTGACAGTCTGCATATAATATGACCCTGTAAGTCACGCTTGTATGTCCGCTAGTATTTTATCTAATTAATTAATGAAACGTTATTTTACTTACCTTCGACATAATTCTGCTGATTTTTCCCATGAATGTCTTATATTGAAGAATTTATAACAGTGTAAGCCTTTTAGTTCCCAGCCTGAAACAAAAAATATCAATTTAATATGACATAAGTATGTAGTTATTACGAGGAAATTCCTGTGTTATAGTTTTTTTTTACATAATTATCTCGAGTGTTGGTTTAATTAACTTATTATTTGTTTGATCAAAGATTTGATACTATTTGTTTATTGATTACTATGTATATTATTATATGATTACTTATTTATAAGGTTAGCGTAAATAGAATCGGATAAAAATCATAAAAAATCAAGTTAAATAAGTAGGGTACGAAATAAGGAAACGACTTGTGTGTGTTGGTGAAATCTATAGGGATTATGACAAATTGAGTGTTAATCAAATTTTAGTCCAGGCTGTATTTAATATTACAATATTGTTGCAATTTGTGTGAATATATATTAAGTATATGTAGAAACGTCTCGTTTCAATTTTTGACGTTTCAGAAAGTATTCACTTTCGAATGTAATTTCTCTGGATTCTTATTTTTATTATTTAGGTGTATATATTGCTTAATATTTAGCTCAAGAAAAACCATTGTTGATACTGAATGCTTGAAGCGAGTAAAGAAATGCCTTTCAAGACTACGTATGTGCTATTTGAACTGTCGTTCGCTTGTTTGACTTGCTATTGAAAAATGTCAATAGTCTCGGGGTCAGAGACCTCGAGTTAGTGATTATTCTTAAATTTGTGACTAGTTTGCACTGGTTCCATGGATATTCATTATCATACAAAATATGGAAATTTTATTCGCAGTTCTTTGATATTTTTAGAAAGTTTTTTTTTTAAATACAATTAATAATTCTATTTTAGATATGAATTCAGTCTTCGGATTAATTAATTAATATTTAATTTGGCAATTTATTGATATTAAACTTTCACAAAACGATAATTTACAACTCAGACTAAGCAGTAGACATAAAAGCGTGATAAAATTTCACTAATATTATAAGGTTAAAGTTTGTTTATTCTTTTCTTACGGTTGAATAAAATTTTTATTTCGAATTTTCATAACTATTGTGGCATGAAATTCGAAAAGATTGATATGAAAAAGAGAGAGGCAAATTATTATCCCGATAAATCAATATATCTCCGTGAAGTTATGGATACAAACTAATATCATATTATTTATTTATTTGATTTATTTATTCTTTATTGACCACATTACAAAAAATGCTTAGTACAAACGGTGACTTAAAGCTATATAGCACTCTCTTCCAGTCAACCGTAAAAAACAGAAATGTAATAAATTATTATGTTAATTTTTTTCTCGTTCTCTCATTTGATATTCTATCGAAATGCTTGAACCATTATAGCAATCATTTTTCAATTATGTACGGATTAATCCAAACTTGCTCTAGTGTTACTATTTTACGAATGTGATTTGTTAGTTTATTTTATTAATTATCAAAAATCATGCCTTTGACGACCCGACGTCGTGAGTACATTGATTTATATTAATTACATTTGTTAAAAAAAACAATATTGTATAGTATATAAATAACTATAATTCATTTACTATTATAAGAACTAAAATAATCCTTTTTTATGCCATATAGTATACGTATATCAAAATCATTACAAATAGTTAAGCCGTTGATCTACCAAAAGGTATCAAACAAACAAACTTACTTTCACATGTACCGTATTAGTAGAGATTAGTGTGGTTTGAGTTAAATTAGATCAACTCCACTTGTTTACTATTTATACCTCACTCACAGAGAAGGAAAAACAATTTGACGAAAAATTTGCACCCCTACAAAGCGACCGCACTTCAATTTGTTAGGGTACGTACTCGTGAACAACAGATTACAGGAGATTACGCCATTGATCGGGGATTTTGCTTGTGTAATTCGAAAAGGTACGAACATCCTACTTAAAATGGTTAGCATGGTGTTAATATTTATAAATTGAACGTTAAATTTAACCTAAAGATTCATTTCAATGCATCGCGGAATAGTTGAATGAGATTTTGCTTATTAATACATACATCTTAAACTGAATATTAGCGTCTATTGAGGTGATAACCGGAAAGTTAAATTTGGAATATTCATGGTTCATCATCGTCGTCATCATATCAGCCGTTAACTGTCCATTGCCAGTAGTTGCCACGCTTGGCAGGCAAATTGGCAACCGCAGTTAGCCTTTTGGTCATGTTATGAGAGGGACGCTGCTGTCCATCTCTCGTTCTTAAGTTCTCTTAGATACTCACAGGAAGGGAAAAAGTGACTCATTTGATGTCGGGGCCACACGGCAAATATTCATGGTTATTATATAATTATTATATGTTATTCTAATAATAGAGCTAAATTTAGTGTACACGAATAAAAATAAATATGTTCAGAATTGTAATCCCTTATGAAGTAGTAGCAAAAGTATTAGTATAAATAAACGGAAGTAGAATAGAAAATAAGTACCTGAGTATAATTCTTAAATATAAATTACCTGTCTTATCACGGTATTACCATATTACATAGAATTGTAAAGTTGTTGTTTTGTGTAAAATGCTAATTCAAAAACCTGTATACCATAATGTTGTTAGGTAGTTGTACTTTATTATCTATTAAAAATATTATAAAAATTTTAAATTGAGACATTAAAAGGTCGACTTTAGTTTGGATAAATTAGTATGGAAATAGGACGGAAGTAAATGTTTCGTTAAGAAAAACTTCAACAAAATTCTTTCAGAATTAGTGAAGATATCGTGAAATTGTTGTAATTTTTTAAGTTAATATTACGTTATGTTCAGCAATGGATAGCTGGTATGATATGTTTGTCTTTATGTTGACGAGACCGGGTATTGTGTAGGGGTTTTATTGATTTTCGAACAATGTGGTAAATACTTGCTCTGTGTTACCTACAAATTTTTTTATGTACATACTACATTATATAGTACATTCACGATATTCGGACTAAAACTAATTTCTTTTTCATAAAAAGTGTAAAACGATTGAAATATCTGGTTTTGTTTTTCAAATTTCGTATTAGTAATAATATAATTAGCATTGTATTCGCACGCTCGTAGTAAATAGAGCGTGCATTTGGCGACTAATCGCGAAGCAAAGAGTATGGATGGATGCATGCTTCACTGCGTTCACAACGCTGCAGTGTGATGTGACTGACCCACATATTATGTTATGTTACCGCGCTGTGAATTTAATTTAACCATTTCATGTCTCTGTGTAAATCTTTGTATAGTTTGTGACGTATATAAATTTTACTGGACATATAACAGTGTGTTATTTTAGGGATGGGTAATATATATTTTTTAAAAATATATGTATATTGGCTCAATAATGAATATAACAAAATTCAGTTATTCAAAAAATAATATTGGATAGTAGACTCTTAACATATTCGAAAATATATATCCGACCGATATGGGCGATACAGGAATGGGCGATGAACTTTTTTCCACCACCAATGTCCAGAGGAACTCAATATATAGATATTGTATCGGTATCCATATTACCCATGCTTGCGTTATTATTTTCTTATTAACTAAGGCTTGTATTATGAGTACTATATAACAGATCGTCTATACCTATTATTTATCTATTTAAATACAATGAAAAACAAACCGATTGACTGATTAAAGCACAGTTGAAACTGCTGCGAATCTGAATAACTTTCCCCAAGGTCGATTGAGTGATTTATTGCTTAATGCATAACTGAAACTGTCGGGCAGAGTTTTAGAGACATTAAATGATCAAAAATTATTTTACATATGTTAGGCCACTCTTTCCTTCCCGCGGGTGTTGTAATAGGCGATTAAGGGAGCGCGAGGGATCGGCAGCAGCGTTCCTCTTAAAACATGGCGTGAATTTACTGGGTACAGAGGAATAACATCTCAGTCCTTAGGAATGGCAACGCATGGGGGGTATCATGGGCGAAACAGTATACTCTATTATGCCCATGGTACTGCTCATGTCTATAGGCGACAGTTACCACTTTCCATCAGGTGGGCCGTCAGCTTGTTTGCCATTCTAAGTTGTACAAATAAAAAAAAAAAACTCTAAAGGCGAACTGCGGTTGACAATCCGCCTGCCAAGCGTGGCAACAACTGGCATATCCCCCCTCAAGGAGGAGGCTTATGTTTAGCAGTCGACAGTTAAAGGCTGATATGATGATGACGATATTACATTTCTTTTTCTTTATAATTAGAGTCCTTGTACACGTGGTAGTATTTATGTTTTTAGGCCTTGTATGACGTAAAGAAAAACATTTATTCAGTGCTATCCCAAATATCGAGTTTCATTGTAGTACCAATTCTGCACATATGGTCACGATATCAAAGTTGCGGAATAAGCGCAGTATTTGACCACAGAGTATGTTTTTGTTACGAAATTTTCCGTTCTAGAAATATCTTGTAAAAGTATTAGATGATAGGCATATTTAGTACACATCTTTGTATCCATTAGGTTATTGTACTATTTGCTATAATTAGTGCCTCTAAAAGTTCTTAGATAAATTCATACAAATACATGTTCCACAAAAAAAAAAAAACATAATCTTAATCATGATGAAACTAGTAATTTTAATTTTAAAATTAAAATATTGATCAAATTTTCGTAAAATTTCTATAGGATTAATCTGAAAGTATATCCTTTCAGATAAAAGAATAATTTTCCAAATTGGTTCATAAATGACGGAGTTCTGAGGTAACAAATATAAAAGTACAACCGAATTGAGAGCCTTTTTCTTTTTTGAAATTGGTTAAAAATAAATCTTACGTAATAAATATTATGTATTTGATTTTGCCCGTGACTTGATCGGCGTGCCGGGATATATTGATTGACCTGATAAAAAGTAGCTTATGTTCTTTTCCATATCAAATACAACGTGTATATTAAATTTCATGATGGTTGATTGAGCTGATAAGGCGTCAAGAAATAACAAATGAACAAACAAACTCAATTCCATATATTTTTATAATAATCATAAATAAGTATATGTTAGTAAGTATTTTTTGTTTACGTTTTTATTTATGAATATTTTAGAATTAAATTAGAAACAAATTCC